TAGTTAAGTCTGGGGGGGGTTTTATTGTGTTACTAATGCAAGAGGTTAGCAATAGAGAGTTTGGATTGCTGGATGAGACTAGTTGGGTTGGTATTGTTCGCTAAACTTGCAGGGTGTATGTGAAGCTAACCTTATGTTGCCTATGTTCTTAGTGGAATACAGGAAATGAACCTTTCACAGGATATTCAAAAGAGCAAGGGAGTTTCCACGTTTTCAAACCTCTTTCACGGATTTAGATTCTTTTTGCTTGAGGACAAGCAATGATCTAAGTCTGGGGGAGTTGATATACCTCTATTTTACATGCTTTTTATATTGTTTTAGCATTGTTTTCTAATGGTTTTTGGCAGGTTTTACTGTGTTTATAGTGTCTAGATGATGATAGGATTTGTGTGTGGATGTGAAAGATATGAAATGAGATGTGGTGGAATGCAACAGTGGTATATGATGAGGTGGTAAGATGCAAACACAAACACAGTCAACAATTCCCTTTAACCATGATAGTCATTATAGTAAAGGGTTATCAATCCAAAATGGGAAACTTGTCACTCTATGAGAATATGAAACAACCAGGAAGTCAAGCAAGCAGTAATAGATTTGAAGTAACACTAACAACCTAAAAATGAAATGCAATGCAATAAAAGTAAACAAAGCAGTAGAACAGCTCGACCAAGGACTCGAGTCGAGTGGAACAGAGTACCAGCTCGATCGAGTTTAGGGTCGAGTTGAGAAAAGCAATAAAGGTGACGACTTTAACAAGATAAGAGAGAATTAGGGTTCAAGACAGGGTTTTGCAATCAAAGGAATCTACACTTAATCAATCTAGCTCTTAAAACTCCTTGTATCAAGGCTTCTCTTGATATTGGGCTTCTCAATGCCTAGCCAACCCTTTCCCAAGGTGGAGGCTATCAACCAAGGAATGATCTCAGAAACAGGGGGTTAGCCAGTGAGAATCAAACCTTGGAGGCATAGGATCATTGCCCAAACTAATCCATCCAACCCCTTAGACCTCTATTTCTAGAGCAAGAGATATTGGAGCTCTTAGTGGATCTTTTCCAGCGAATGCCATCACTTTCGTGTGGGAGAATCGCCTAAGGACTTACAAGCCAGGGGTAGTGGTCATGTAGCCTTAAGATCTATCCAAAAGAGAGAGAATCTAGATTAAGACCATAAGCTAGAAGGATTAAGCATATGAAACCTCTAATCTATCCCATCTCAAACCCTAATGGGTAACTACTCACTACACATGAATGTAAACACAAGCAAATGCAATAAAAGAGACATCATAAGAAAGAGGAGATGAAATTAAACAACTTTTATTGAAATAAGCAAGTGCAAATACAAAGAGATTATCCAGGATCTAGGATTCAAGAAGCAAGAGCTTCAAGAACACAAAGATGGGATTAGAGCTCTAAAAAGTAAAAGACAAAAATTAAAAGAAACTAAAACAAAAGTAATCTAAAGCTTGGTGGTTTTTTCGTGGCTTAGCCTTTAAATACAAGAGGATTAGGTTTAGGGTCAAAGGAAAGTCAAGGGGGAAGCAACATTTTTCGGGTTTGACTGTTGACTTCTCAGCTCGATCGAGTTGAAGCTTGGCCGGTCGAGTTGAGGAACTCGACCGGTTGGTCGAGTAGACGGTCGAGCTGGTCTTCAAGATGGCTTCTCCCTTCTTCCTTTGCGTATCCAGTTGAGCTGCGTCCATGTGCCAAGTCCCTCCATGCTCCTCATGTCCCATATGCTCCAGAATGCTCCAAAAGACCTATTTCAAAGGACCAAACATGCATATGTATGCAAATGCAACCTAAAACTAACATGAATGCATAAGAAGAGAAAAGGAACAAGATATGATGCAAATGGAGCTAAAACTATGCAAAAGATGCATAAAAGATGTGCTAAAACTATGTAAAATGCAAGTACATCAACACCCCCAAACTTGAACTTTGCTTGCCCTCAAGCAAACAAATAGAACAAGAAAGAGATGAGGTTTGAAAACAGCTGATTCAACACTTAAAAACATGTCCTCAAAAGCGATTTGCTAAATGTCCAACTTAGAGATTCTAGAATGCAACAAGGTGAGAGATATTCATTAAGATTTAACCATGCCAGTACAAGAAAACACTGTTATTTCTATTGGTGAATGTATATTGTAGTTTCCTATTCTCTTAGGTTTAGAGAAGTTTCCTTATCTATTGTGTAGAGACTTGTATATATATCGATTGTAATCTCATATGTAATACAAGGGATTTTCACATTATCATGGTAGCAGAGCCAATCAATGGCAGAAAACCCTAAAAAAAAAAAACCCTAAACACAAAAGCTTAGCAATCAAAGAACGAACAAGAAGACATGACAGAGAAGGCTGTTGTTCGTGCAGGAACTGATGCGGAAGCACAGTTGTCACCATATTATCTTCACGCCTCGGAAGGCCCTGGAAACCTGATTACGACAGTCCAACTCAAAGGAGAAAACTATGAAGACTGGTCAAAGCATGTGCGGAATGCGTACAAAGCGGAAGCTCGGATTCATCGATGGAACTCACAAGAAACCAAAATCAGCTGCCGACATAGAACAATGGGAAGTGGTGAATTCAATGTTGGTGGCATGGATCATGAATACAATAGAACCAACTCTTCGTGCCTCAGTGACAATGGTCGAGGATGCTTACGTTCTTTGGGAGGATTTGAAGATGCAGTTTTCTGCAGGTAATGCAGCTCGGGTTCATGAATTAAGAACCGACATAGCATGCTGCAAACAGAATGGAGATTCTGTTGTAGTGTATTATGGGAGATTGAAGAAGATGTGGGATGAGTTAGCCGTTTATAAACCCCTACGCTCTTGTCGCTGTGGGGAATTGACAACATCATTACAGCAAGATCAAGATGAAGAGAGAACATCACAGTTTCTCATGGGACTAGACAATGCGAAGTTTGGGACTCTGCGTTCTAATATCACTAGTTTTGAACCAATTCCCAAATTGTCGCAAGTGTATCAACGAATTGTTCGAGAAGAACGCCAACAGATGATTGTGCGAAACACAGAGGAACGTACAGAGGCTGTTGGCTTTGCTGTTCATGCTGATAATCGATCTCGATTTCAGACTGGCTATAATAAAGAGATGGAGATAGTTCGCTGCACTCATTGTGGAAAAACAGGGCATGAGATCTCTGATTGCTATCAGATAAATGGATATCCAGACTATTGGGGTGAAAGAGGCAGAGGTGGCGGAGTTAGAGGAAGCACTCGCGGCAGAGGTCGTGGAGGTGGAATAGCTGGTAGCTATGGTCGAGGCAGAGGCAGAGGAAATCATAGTGATCGACAAGTAACTGCAAATGCTGCACAGGTGATTCCAAGCACAGTGACAGCAAATGCAACAAGACGTGAAGGAGATTACGACAGACAGTCTCTCCCGCAGCTTAGTGATGAACAATGGACGGCCTTGATCAGCTTCCTCAACACACCAAAGCCTAACAATGTTGAGAAACTGAGTGGTAAGAGTGACACGGTGGAATTTATAATAGACACAGGTGCATCACACCATATGACTTGGGATTTAAACTTGTTGTCTAATGTGGTTGATATTGTGCCGTGTTCTATTGGTTTACCGGATGGGTGATCTTTACTTGGCTGGTGATATGTGGTTGAAAGGAGTATTATATGCTCCAGATTTGAAGTGTTCTTTAATTTCTGTGGCAAAATTACTCAAAGCCATAAAGGGTTCATCTATTACGTTCACAGCTGACTTGTGTGTTTTGCAGGACCATACCAAGAAGACTCTGATTGGTGCGGGTGAAGAATGTGGTGGGGTCCATGTTTTTCGCGGAGCTCTAGGAGGGAGAGCTCATAAAGCAGCAGCAACTAGTAGTATTTCCAAAGATGTTTGGCATAGAAGACTTGGTCATCCGTCTGATAGAGTCTTGTCTCATTTACCTTATTCTATTTGTACTGTTAAGTCTGCCGAGAATGATGCGGTTTGTGACGTTTGTTTTAGAGCAAAACAGACTCGAGATTCTTTTCATGAAAGTGATAATAAAGCTGCTGGTATTTTTGATTTGATTCATTGTGATGTGTGGGGTGGATACCGGACTCCTTCCTCCTCTGGTGCAGTTTATTTTTTAACGATTGTTGATGACTACTCACGTGCAGTTTGGGTATTCTTGTTGGTTGAAAAAAGGGAAGTTGCGTTGACATTGCAGAATTTTTTTGCCATGGTCGAAAGACAGTTTGAGAAGCAAGTAAAAATGGTGAGAAGTGATAATGGGACAGAATTTACATGCATGAAATCCTACTTTGCAAAGGAAGGTATTATACATCAAACGTCTTGTGTAGGAACACCACAACAAAATGGACGTGTTGAGAGGAAACACCGTCACATACTTAACGTGGCTAGAGCTCTAATGTTTCAAGCTAAAGTTCCAATCAAGTTTTGGGGCGAATGTGTTCTGTCGGCGTGTCATCTTATTAATAGAACACCAACACCTTTGTTAGGTGGCAAAACACCATACGAGCTCCTCTTTGGGGCGCCTCCAGATCTTGATAGCTTGAGAGTGTTTGGATGTCTTTGTTATGCACACAAACAGCTTCGGGATAAAGACAAGTTTGCAGAACGTAGCCGTAAGTGTGCTTTCATGGGATATCCGTATGGAAAGAAAGGATGGTATTTGTATGATCTCGACACTGGTGAATTCTTTGTCTCGAGGGACGTAGTGTTTCACGAAGATGTTTTCCCGCTTGCAATGGTTGAGACTCCTCAGTCACAACAAATTTTTGATGTACCTTCTCCGTTTGTTGATAATGATGAGATTGTGCCTATTAGCGACAGGGGGAGTTTACCATCACCTCCAGAAGAGGAGAATGCTATTAATGAATCACCTATCAGGGATGTTGTTGAAAATCCGCAGCCTGGAGTCGAACTAGAAGTAGAATTGGGTCGAGGACTTAGAGAAAAGGTTAAGTCAACAAAACTTCGTGATTTTGTGTTGTATACTGCTCAATGCTCCAATGACCCCCCCACATCTCTCCTCAACACCTTCAGATTCTTCTTCAGGTACGGTTCTATATCCTATTGCAAACTATGTAGGATGTAACCTTTTTTCAGATGGACATAGAGTATTTATGGCTGCAGTGACAGCAAATGATGAGCCAAAGAACTATGGAGAAGCTGTTAAAATCAAAGTTTGGGTCGACGCTATGGTTAAAGAAATTGATGCTTTGGAGATTAACGACACATGGGAAATTGTAGATCTCCCACCAGGAAAGATGGCAATTGGTTGTAATTGGATTTATAAACTTAAATTCAATTCGGATGGTACAATTGAGCGCCACAAAGCTAGGTTGGTTTCACTTGGAAATCGACAAACGGAAGATGTAGACTATGATGAAACTTTTGCTCACGTGGTTAAGATGACCACGATACGTATGTTTCTAAAAGTGGCGGCAGCAAAACAGTGGGTTGTTCATCAAATGGATGTCAACAATGTTTTTCTTCATGGAGATTTGGAAGAAGAAGTTTATATGCGACTCCCACCAGGGTTTAAGTCAGCCGGAAGCAACAAGGTCTGCAAACTTAAGAAAGCTTTGTACGGTTTGAAACAAGCTCCTCGATGCTGGTTTTCAAAACTTACGGCTGCTCTTTGTGGGTATGGTTTCAAACAATCTCACTCTAATTCCTCTTTGTTTATGTTAACTCGAGGAGCTAGTCGCTTGTATGTGTTGGTGTATGTGGATGACTTAATTATTGGTGATGATGATGCTGAAGCTGTTGATCGCTTTAAAGGTTATTTGGGAGAATGTTTTCATATGAAAGACTTGGGTCTTTTGAAGTATTTTCTTGGTATTGAAGTAGCGCGATCAGATAAAGGATTCTACTTGTCTCAACGAAAATATGTCCTTGATATAATCAATGAATGTGGATTGCTTGGAGGACGAACAGTAACAACACCTATCGAAGAGCATCATCAACTGTTGCGGCGTGGTGATGATTATTATGAAGATCCAGAAAGATATCGCAGACTTATAGGTCGTTTGGTTTATCTGACGACAACGCGACCAGAGTTGTCCTATGTTGTTCACGTGCTTGCCCAATTTATGCATAAACCTGAGAAAAAACATTGGTTTGGAGCACTATGAGTTGTACGTTATCTCAAGGGATGTCCTGGTCAAGGAATTTTAATCTCTTCTCAAAGTGATTTACGTTTGACAGCCTACTGTGATTCAGATTATGCAGCTTGTCCTGTGACTAGAAGATCATTGACAGGCTTTGCTGAAATGTTAGGCGATTCTCCAATCAATTGGAAGACGAAGAAACAACGAGTTGTGTCGCGTTCTTCGACGGAAGCAGAATATCGCTCCATGGCAGACACTACTAACGAACTGAAGTGGGATCGTGAGTTGTTGTCTTGTTTTGGAGTTCAACAAACAGAGCCAATGCGTCTTTACTGTGATAATCAGTCAGCTCTTTACATTGCAAACAATCCCGTTTTTCATGAACGGACTAAGAATGTTGAAACTGATTGTTACTATGTTCGGGATGAGATTCAAAATGGTTCACTGCAAACTGCTAAGATTCATACATCTGAACAGCCTGCAGATATCTTCACTAAGGCGCTTGGTTCCTCATTGTTTATGTATCTTAGTCGCAAGTTGGGCATATGTGATCTTCATGCTCCAACTTGAGGGGGTGTATTGGTGAATGTATATTGTAGTTTCCTATTCTCTTAGGTTTAGAGAAGTTTCCTTATCTATTGTGTAGAGACTTGTATATATATCGATTGTAATCTCATATGTAATACAAGGGATTTTCACATTATCAATTTCTTACAGCCGTAACTGTTGGAAATCCATCAGAAATGGTCAAATCCGAGAGATTTCCGACGGATGTGAGCTGTCCGTTCCATCTCGTCGGAAATATATATCCGTCAGAAATCCGTCACATAAATTCTGAGGAAATTCTGAGGACCATCATTTCCGACAGATTTCCGAAACTGTATTTACTGTCAGAAATCCGTCACATAAATTCTGAGGGAATTCTGAGGACCATCATTTCCGACAAATTTCCGAGAATGTATACACTGTAGGAAAGCTATCGGAACACTGTCGGTTTCAACCTGACGGAAGTGTGACAATTATCCAACAGAAATTTCTGATGCAATACTGAGAGACATTCCAACGGCAATATGATGGATAAAATCTGACGGAATATTGACGCTCGAAATACATTATCGACGACTTACTGATTAAAGAGTCCGTCATATGTCCAATGACATTTTCCGACGGATTATCGACAGAGTTTAAAATTCTTATTAATAGTTTTATTAATTGAATAAAATATGAAATATTATATAATATTAATATTTTACAAAACATTGATGGATTCAAAATGATCATAAATATTAAACAGTAATGTTGTGACATTAAACAAAATTATACAATACAAAAACTAAACTTAAAAAAAAAATTAAACTGATTTTAATTAAGTTTCAGGTAGGGGAACAACGCACCGGAATATCAGCACCATACTTCTGCTTCATGAACCCGACGAGGTCTTGGAGTGTCTCTTGGGTCTGAACATTTGCTTGTTCCAAAACTTTAATTTGAGTGTCTTTTTCCTTTAGGATCTCTTGGGTCTGAACATTTGCTTGTTCCAAATTTTGAATTTGAGCGTCTTTTTCCTTTAGCAACTGCTCCATCTCTACATCACGGTTACTCGGAAACACCGAAGATGTCACAGGGACATTTTTTCCAAGGTTTCCCAACCCTTGATAACAACCTTTCTTAAGAGGTGCTACCTAAATATTTATCAAAATAATTAGTACATAAAAAGAGGTAGATTACTGAATACAAAATAACAAAATTAAAACTTACCGAGAGATATATGCCGTTTATAGCTTCCACAGTTATCATTTCACCTTCTGTCATCTGGGTTTGGTGATCTTACTTTCTCTTCTTCACTGTCTCGACGATATCTCTGATGGCGGGATCCTGAATCTCTCCGGTTTTCTTGTTGGTGTGTGTGTCTTCTACAAGCGTCAGATAATCTGGACACACACAACCAGCTTCCTTGGTCTATAAAGAAATGATGATGAAAAGTTATAAAGTAAAACAGAATAAGATTAGTAGATGTAGTCAAAACACCTATTAAGGAGTTTCTTGCGTTCTAAGTTTCTAATCTCTAAGAAGCTAGATTAAAAATTGATTTAATTGATTGGTTTGTTCTCATCGTATATTAGAAACAAGAAGCAATACTATTAGTCGAACTAATCCATCTTAAGAAAAAGAATAAGATAGATCATCAAGTAAAACAGAAAAATATTTAACAAAAGAAAAAACCAATATTACCATTTGTAATTGGCGGGTCTTAGTGCTAGTAGCGCCAGAGTTGTGCACCGAGATCCCCAAACCATTTCGATTGCTCATCCGGTTATTTGAGTGGATGAGCGAATCATTTTCAGTCTCTGGTAACAGCCAATGTTTCGGCATTTCTTGCCAAACAAAGGCGTTCATGCCCTTTGGTTTCTTTTGGCTCCCCTTTTTCCACTTTGCCTTCCACTCGTTCATGTTGTGGGTGAAAGAACTAGCGGCTGCCTGGTGGAAGCATGTACGAACAAGACTTGTGTAAACAGAGTCCCAGTTAAACTCTTGCTACAAAAGAAAAAAACAATCTTTTGAGTTAGAAATTTTGAAAGAATCATGATTTAAAAATGAAATAAACAAATACTTACTGCAAATGTCCTGAACCACATCTCTTTTTCATCGGCTGGCATACTCGAATATGTGGGATATGGGTGTTTGAGGAGCGAATGCAACATCCTCAAGATGCACTTAGTGATGCCATTATTAGATATTCCAAACCTACGAACAAAGTAAGAAAGATAAAATGTCAAAGTGATATGCAAATGAAACTATATAATGAGAAGGATACTTGTGGTGAAGTACAAGTACCAAGTTGCTTCATCTTGTAGGAGGGGATGGAGCTGTGTTAACAGATGACGACCCTCCTGAAGTAGTACCTGATCCACCGTTAGGACCTGCACCCGAGGAGCTGCACGAGCAGAACTTTCCGACTCAGGAACTTGAAACGAAGGCGAGTGGCTCAGAGGTGGCTGAGTACTACTCTGTCCTCCTTGCGTGGAACAGGAAGATCCTAAGTTGGTCCTTCAGAAAAAATTAAATAAGCAATGCATTAGATCAAAGCTAATTTCTAAATCCTGACTCTTAACATCCAAATATTACACTGTCCTGATGAGCTCATGTCTCTACCAAAACGATACAACCAAAACACAAAATCAAACGACATATTCAACATTCAAATAACAAAATCAAAGCTAAAAGGAGAAAACTTTTGAACCTCCTAATACAATTTCGCTGGACAGCAGCAAATAAAAACCAGAATAATTCCCAAATCATCATCGCAAAAACTTTGCAAATTTACCAATCAAACACAAACAGAAATTGGAATTGGATCGAAACACCCAAATTTATGAATCACTAACACACAAACTACGTGAGGGAAAGACTGGGTGGAGTAAATTAATCTCTAAAACTAACAAACTCACAATCCATATAAACTAACTCGAAAAAAAAAATAAGAGAGAGAAGAATACTAACATATTTGGTCAGGGATGAAGAGGGATTTGAGATTTGGGGACAAAAACGACTGGTTAAGGTTGGATTTCAGGCAGAGAGTCTTAGAGCTTTGAGATTAAGGGGGAAAAAGCGGATTAGGGTTTAGGGTTTTTCATTCTCAGGCGTGGAAAGAAATTTAAGAGCAAATATGTTGGGTGAGAGAAAGTGGAAGAAGGAAATGAGAGAAGATATACGCACTTTCAGCTAAATATCCATCGGTTACCAGTGGGAATCGAAATTAATTGCCTGAAATTTTCATTTGGCGGTCTCGAAGTATGATTTTCGCGGTTTTTTTTCCTTCCGCCTGAAATCTAAAATATTACGTTCCCTCGGTATCCTGTCGGAAATTACAGAGAGATTTCTGACGGATTAAGATATTTTTATAGGTTCGTCGGTAATCTCTCGGAATTAGTAACAGATTTCTGACGAATTCAGGGTATAGAGGTTGGTAATCCTCAATTTTGTTCATTATACACATTACCACCTTATCAAAATATCAAACAATGTATTAACAAATCAATACGTGATGTAGTTGTGTTTCGAGGCAAATCACTTAGCCACAAGCATAACTCATAGTAACAAATACTATAGGCTACACTTACACTTATGCAAAAATGCAAGAATTATATTAGATCTTCTATATTACTTGTATTTTGTAAAATTGTAATCAGTGTTACGTTGAAAATGTAACAAACTACAATTTTGTGGTAAAGTGACTAAAATGGGTTACAATTTAAGGAGTTTTGAGGGATTTCTGAGGGAAAACATTTTAGATATTAAAACTTGCTAGAAGTTGATGGATGGGTAAAGACTTCGGTTGCTAGAAGCATTAAAGAGAATCGAAGACTTAAAATTCAGAGAAAGAGTTTTCTTTATTAATTCAATAAAATCCAACGAGCTAATACAACTTCGACTCTTCTTTTTTTTTTTTGGTTTTAATGTTAAGATTTCATTAACCAAGAAGGAATATTTACAAAAAAGGAGGATAGACCCTTACCTTTACTACTTACCTAAAAAGCTTTAAGACTAATGGAACGGAATCATATCGGATGAGACATACAACCAAAATAAAATTCTAGGAGAGAAGGATGGGAATCCGTAGCAGGGAAAGATAGGAGTCTGTCCCGCAGAGTTCGATCGACCATGCGTTTGAGCGCATGTAAAGGAGTTGAAATCGCAGTGAAGATGCGAGCGTTCCGCTCCCTCCACAAAGAGTAGCTAACAACCTGGAGAAGAAGCTTCATACAAACTTGGACCTGACTCCGGGAAGAGATCAGAGGCAGCTGAAACAGAGGGATGATGTCGGCTAGATTAGACGGTGCTATCTGTCCACACATCGGAGTAGCAAAGGCTTGCCACAGAGCCTCCGAGAAAGTACAGCTGAAGAAGAGGTGGGAGTGAGACTCTGCTGCTGCCAAGCATAATGGACATAAGTCCGGCACAGTCATTCCCCATCCAATCAGACGGTCTCTAGTTGGCAGCCTTCCCAAGCAGACAAGCCACATAATAAAAGATGCTCTGGGAATTGCCTCCCGGAACCAAACAATTTTCGACCAAGGCACTTGCGCAGAACGGGTCCGCAGCTGTTCCCAAGTTCCTCGTGAGGAGAATTTCTTAGCATAGTTGCCGGCGGCGTTACGCCAGAGATAAGTATCCGCTCCACGAGCTATCTCTGGAGGAGGAGTAGCCGTTAGCAGAATCTGGAGCTCCTGGACCCTGTCAGATCTCGCGTTGGGTAGGTACCACTCCCCACTACGTACCGCATCACCAACCTTTGCATCAAGACGCAGCCTTAGCATCCGAGGTCCAGACTGCCCAACAAAATCCATTAAAGGGCCTAGACTCGTCCAAGAATCCCACCAGAAAGAAGCGTCTAACCCGTTCCTAACTTCACATTTCAGGAACGTAGGGAGCATATGCTTGAGCTGGAGCATGCTGCGGATAGCCTTGGAGAAACGAGGAGAGTCGTTAGTATTCCAAAAGCTCTTCTTATGGAAAACTTAACTATAAAGAAGATTACATCGAATAGGAAACTTAAATAGGAAACTTCGACTCTTCTTTTATAGGCATAAGAAGATTACATCGAATAGGAAACTTAACTATAAAGAGAAAAAAACATTAAAGAAACCAAAACAGAGCATGAAATGCTAACCAAAACAGAGCATGAGATACAAACCAAAACAGAGCCCAAAACTTATTCTGAATCTGATGAATAGTCTGAAGGTGCTGAATTGTTATTCTCGTCAAACTCATCAATTTCTTCCTCGGAATCCTCAAATAGCTCATACCCATTTTCCATGGTGAAGTCAACCACAAGGTTTACTTCAAGAGAAGGCTCAATCGTTCCTACATAACCAAGTGTGTTTTGTTGCAAAGGATCGTGATCAACATCACCAAATACTTTTCCTCTTGGGTTTACTGAAGTAACTGTGATCCATGGGTCTTGCTTCCTCTTAACTCGTGGGTATGGGATGTAGCATACTTGGTCTGCTTGTAAAGCAAGAATAAATGGATCATATTTCCGAAGTCTCTTACGGCAATGTACGGATGTAACACCAAACTCGTCATGCCGAAGGCCGTTAACTGGATCATACCAATCACAGTTGAAAACAATGCACCTTAAATTGAGCAATCCCGGAAACTGGACTTCCAATATCTCGCGTAGAACACCGTAGTATATAATATCTCCAGACCGAGACGAGATACCAAAATCAGAAGTTGATCTCGTACTTCTTTCACGAAATATTTGAAAAGCAAAACCTCGAGTGCAATATCTCGGATAGCATGTGACTTCCGATTTAGGGCCGTACACCAACTCTTCTAACCATGTGGGAATTATTTCTCCGGTAGAACGACTTGTTTTGATCTATATAAATTAATATAAGTTAATTATCAATGGTTTTAAGTATGAGACAGTAAAGTTAATAAATTAAAAATTGAATATAAGACACTTACATAACATTTCATCCAATTCACAAACTCCTTCGTCTTGAGGACTTCAAACTCATTTTCTGTGTATTGTGGATATTGATATCGTAAATGAGCCATGTATAGTCTGCAGAAAAACAAATAACATATACAAATAAATATTAGTTAAAAATATATATATATATCTTCCTAATGTCAAAGAAAATAGATAAATCAAAATTAGGTACCTCTCATATGGAAGCACCTTATCACAGTTTGTTAAAATATACTTATGCAAATGATCTTCCTCCTCGGTTGATAGCATTCGTTTTTTGCTTTTCCACTCAACCGTCCGATTTGAGAAAATATATCAGGAACCCATGCTTGATAAATAGGTCTTTGGCCCCCATCATCATGTCGTGATGGTCGTCGACTCTTGGTTCGGACGTTTGATGGAAAGTAGTTGCTAGCAAAGTGCGAGGTTTCTTCATTAAGGCTTTGGGCGACAATAGAACCTTCGACTCTACTTAGATTTTTCACCTTCTTCTTCAGATGGAACATAAACCGCTCAAAAGGATACATCCAGCGGTACGGAACTGGTCCTCCAAGCTCTGCTTCTCTTGGAAGATGAACCGGAAGATGTTCCATCACATCGAAGAAGGACGGTGGAAATATCTTCTCAAGTTCGCAAAGGAGTTTGCTATCTTCTTCTCCAAAGATTGGATACCATCTAATGTAAGTGATCTCGAGCAAATATCTCGAAAGAAAGCACTAATACCTGCATAAAAAGATATGAAAATGTTATAATGCATAAAATATTGTAATGTATTTACAAACACATACATAAAAATATATAAATTAATATTATAAATTTATAGAGTATCTACAATAATAAAAATAATAATATATATATACCAAGAAGAATTAATGTAATCATACCTGCAACTGCTTTGTAGACGTTGTTTGGTAGAAGACCTTCAAAGGCAAATGGAAGTAGGCGCTGCATAACAACATGACAATCATGGCTCGTCATCCCCATAAATTTCTCTTCTCTGCTATCAACGCAATTACGAAGATTTGACGCGTATCCGTCGGGGAATTTTACACTGGGTATAATCTAATTAAAAAACTCTTGCTTTGCAGCCGGATCCAACACAAAAGAGGGGGGCAATGCTTTCCCGTTCTTCATAACCCGTAACTCCTTACGGAAACAATGAAGTGGCAAGTCTAATCTGGACTTCAAATTATCTTTCGTCTTCCCTTGAACATTTAGAACGGTGTTCATAATGTTGTCAAAAAAATTCTTCTCAATGTGCATAACATCTAGATTATGGCGTAGCAGATGGTCCTTCCAATACGGCAAATCCCAAAAAATACTCTTCTTGTGCCAGTTGTGATGAGATCCACAACCCTGAACAGGATCATGCCCATTGCCCCCGCATTTAACCGTCTTCTCAGCACCAAAATCTCTCAACTGTGTCAACAAATTATAACCGTCTCTCTCAGGAGGTGGAGAATCAAACACCTTTCTGTTCTTCTTAAACAATGTCGTGCTGTGACGATATAGGTGGTCACTCAGTAAAAATCGCCGATGACAGTCAAACCAACTTGTCTTCCGCCCATGCTTTAGTTGAAAAGAATCAGTGTCATCTTGACAGTGTGGACACGCTAACTTTCCATGTGTTGACTGTAACACCCCCGATTCGTTCTATAAATAGATCAAACCAAAGATGTCACATAGGGAACGCTAAGCAGGTCCAGACCCGTATCACAAAGACTTGGATCCGATCCTACCTAGTTTCCCTTTACCTCAGTTCCTATAATACTAAGGCTTTGCAACCCGTAGAACAAGAACTGAGTTGTGTTCGTTTGGACTAAACAAATATCATCCAAACAAGCCATCTTTAGTAAAACATAACTTTTATTTATATCATATCAAAGATGCTTAATACAAAAACTTAAACGTACTTTCGGCCGAGGCCTAGTGCCAAAAAGAGAGAAAAGAAAAACATACTTTATCACAAACGGTATTTTACAAAAGCCAACGAAAACTACTCCAGCTCCTAACGTCCCACGCTATCTCCTCTACGCTCTACGGTTTTCTGCAAAACAAACAAACGTTATCAGTAATCTAAGATTACTGGTGAGTCCAGGACCCTCTACCCCGAACCTCACAACAACGTTACCCAAACCCCACAATCAAACAACATGCAATCAAGCAATCAACGACTACAACATCTCAATCAAAGCAAGCACAAGCGGAAGCATTCACACAAACATAATAGCTCTCTAACTATTATGCACACACAAGCAATCAAACAATCATGCAATCAATCTCAAGGAGAACATCACACGTTTCCCCTTGGATTCAAACATGCATGCAACACACAACACAAACAACCACACACAATCAACCACACACAAACGCAATAGTAACCACTATACTATTACGCAAACACGCTACCACCAAAACTACGTGGTATCGGCTTCTATCATGCACGGATCTCCCCTCACCGTGATATCCGCGCCAGGGAAACACACAGTAACCCTGACCGGACTCTCACACCAAGTCTTGACCCTTCCATGATCAAGAACTCGGCTCCCGACTCTCTTGCCATCGCCGACAAGAGACACCCGGGCTACACCGTCGTGTAGTACTCAGCCATGGGAGCGACCCAAGTATCCTCTGAGTCATCCTTACGATCCACCCAAGAGGGTTTCTCAGTGAATGAACCGCAAGGGAGGAGGAGCATCACGATACACCGCTAAGATCATTGATCAAACAACACAATGATCTATTTACGCTCTACTAGGTCCATAGGGTTTCTATGACCTCACACACAAAGATCCATAGCATTGGGCTATGATCTCACACACAACACACACAAAATAGGTCCATAGCTTACACCACGCTATGACCTCATACATACTAGATCCATAGCTTACACCACGCTATGATCTCACACACAACACACAAAAATAGATCCATAGCTTTCGCCATGATCTCACACAATAGGTCCATAGCTTACACCACGCTATGACCTCTCTCACCACACACAAAATAGATCCATAGCTTACACCACACTATGATCTCACACACCACACAACATGCACAACATGTAATCACACAATATGCAATCACATGAAATGCAACACACAAGACACAACATGCAAGCAATCAAGAAATAGAAGGAGTTTCTTCTCAATGCTATTCCTGCATAAAATCACGTTAGCTTAAAGTCTTAAGCTACCGGGACTCACATATCACGAAGATCAGGCTGGACTGCTCACAAACCGAGATCTTCACTCTGCACTTGAACTAGATCCAACATCTATGTTAGATCCAGCTCAAACAAGGTTTAGACTACGAAAGCTAAGGGTTCTAAAGCTTACCGACCCACCACGCTATCGGAAGCTAGAGCTTTCACCACGCTCTCACCCTTAACGATCGCCTAAACTAACCTCACTAACACTCACAAACTTTCACACACACAAACCACTTTCTTTCACACTTTTCTTAAGAACAAGGATGAAGGAAAAGGGTTTCTAAAGGTGAGGGAGAGCTATTTATAGACTGAGAGGGAGACTTGGTGGCTTCACCACCTCTTGACACCACAGCGCGCATGTGTCATCATTCCGGCAACAAGTGGCGGCGTTTCCTTTACATGCGGAGGAGGACGCCCTGACCCGCTGACACCTCGTCCAGGTCAGTCTCCTGCTCCTCTCTACAGCCGCCACATGCCCCAGACACACTCCACAAATCGCTCATACGTTGACACCTCACAAGAGTAGATTCATGTAATCTTGCATGAACTCTTCTCGTAGTGACAAGTGTCCCACTCACACTTTCTTCTTCTCTCATTGTGACACATGTCTTCTTTTTGCATGCACAAATGAGTCACTCACTCCATTCTCTCACTCCATGTTCCACTCAACTCTCGGCCGCGCTCCGTACGTTCACGTACCGGCCGAGCGTACCGCGCAAGCATCCCACGGCCGAACATTGTCGTCCGTGGCCGATCACATGCGCTCAAACGTTCCTCCATCTCCTCTCATGACCATTTTCTTGTCTAGTCATGCCCTGGGCGCTTGCCCGTCACGCCGACCCGCGCATCCTGTACGTCCGTACAGCGATCCGTCCGGCTGACCATCTCTCGGCCGTAAACACTCTTTTCTTCATATCTTGAGTTTTACTCGACCAAATCCACTTCTGCTTCGACCGTTCTTCATCTTTTAGAACTGTCTACTCATTCCAGAAGAAAAATCCGTGATTTCTCTTACTCCTCTTCAGGGTTACTACATTGACCATCCGGATAACATACCATATGCTGGAAAATCACTTATAGTCCACATAAGCACTGCACGCATCGTAAAATTCTGCTGGCAAGAAACATCGAACACTTCAACACCATGATCCCATAACATTTGCAACTCATGAATCAATGGCTGCAGAAAAACGTCAAGTGATCTCTTAGGATTGGCTGGACCGGGGATGAGAATTGAGAGGAATAAAAACACTCGCTTCATGCACAAAGATGGAGGCAAATTGTAAGGTGTTACTATAACTGGCCACAAAGAGTATTGCCTTCCATGCTTCCCAAAAGGGTTAAATCCATCTGTAGATAGCCCGAGGTACACATTCCTCCTCTCATATGCAAAACTAGGATACACTTCTTGAAAATGTTTCCATGCTTTTGCATCTGAGGGATGCACAATCTCTCCATTAGATGTATGCTCTGCATGCCATCTCATAGACTCCGCCGTACGCTCGGATTGATATAACCTCTTCAACCGTTCTGATATCGGCAAATACCACATCCGCTTATATGGAATACAAACTCTTCCCTCTGTTTCTTGGTATCGAGGTTTGCGGCAAAAACGACATGTTGATCTGTTTTTGTCTTCTCTCCAAAATATCATACAATTGTCAACACACACATCTATCATCTGATACGGCAAACCAAGACCAGCTACCAATTTCTGCACCTCGTAGTATGAAGCCGCTAGTAGATTATCTTCAGGTAACATTCTTCTTGCCCAATCACTAAGTCGATCCACACAATCTTCAGGCAAATTGAAATCCGTCTTTATAGACATCAACTCAGTTGCAGATGATAATGGCGATATACCCTCTCTACAACCTTTGTATAACTCATTTTTAGCAGCATCTAACATATCAAAAAACTTCCGGGCTTCTAGATTAGGTTCCTCTATCCTATTTTCTTCCTCACCAAACAATGCTACGTTTTCCCGAAACGCATCATTAACCATTTGAACAGTTCCTCGGTTTTCTTCTACTTCCGGTCTAATTTCTGCTTCTATCCTATTCGAGGAACTAGCACTAGCATTAGTATATGCCATTTCCTCACTCTCTCCATGTGAATACCAAATCTTATAACCCGGCATAAATCCAGATCTATAAATATGATTCCATACTGTTTTTATATACACAAATCTACGATTCCGACAAGTAGGACAAGGACAGTATATTTTACCGGATTCCATAGCTAGCTCTTGTCGTGTTGCAAATGCCATGAACTCCTCAAAGCCTTTCGCAAACTCTTCTATCAATTGGCCCGTCACTGGATCATACGAATGCTTATCCATCCACGATCGAAAATAATCTGAATGGTTTGGAGAAGACATTTTGCAAAGTTTGTTTTAGTTTGTTGTGAGTGTAAATGATTAAGGGTGGAGAGATATTTAAATATGGAGATCTTGGGCAGTTTTAACGGAATTTGATGACTGTACAATCTATCAAACGGCTATAACAACGGCTCCATTATAACGGTCGCAATTTCTTTCGGATTTCTGACGTCACCGTCGGAAATCCGTCATAAAATCTCTTACGGCGTTTCCATGGTAAAGAATGTCCAGATTTGTCCTGCAAGAGGGATATGAAAATGGTAAAGAATGTCTAGATATGTATGTGGTAGCCATGAGTTGAAATCAAATGCAAGCATTGGTAATTGAAGATCAAATTATGGTTCAAATAGATAGGGAAATGCATCAAATCACAGCAATGGTTGAATGAGATGTGCATGCAGTGATATGATCAAGATAAACATGGTTCTTGTTGCTCAATCAATCTCACCCTAATGCACAAGAGAATCTAAAAACAGGGCACTCAAGAAATCGCAAATGATGAACAAGTTTTCAAAGTCAAATCAACAATGCAAGTGAAAAATGCAATCCTAAACAATACTAACAAATATGAATGCAAAAAGATGAAAATATTTTTGGATTTTTTGAAAATTTTATGATTTTTTTGGTTTTTCTATGCAAAAGATGAATGAAAAACTAAGAACAAAGAAAACAAGGTTAAATCATCTCTTGAACCCTCCCCCAAACTTAAATCACACAGTCCCTTGTGTGAGAGAAATTCAGTGAAAGATTCAAGAGGGCAAAACCAATAAAAACAAAGAAAATATGAAATGGTATGTACAATGGGTTGTGTTTGATACCTCAGTGCCCCCCAAAGATCTGGGAGGCGAAGTCGTGGTCTGGAGATGGTAGACGGCCATCAGAGACACTCCACTCGATTGGGTTCACGCTGCTCGATCGAGCTTGCTCTTGACTCGATCGAGTTGTGCCTCGAGTTAGCCACTCTTCTTCCTAAAACCTGCTTCTGTAAGACTTAGCCAAGAAAATCATAGTAATAAAAGGGTAAAGCATAAATATATAAGATAGTCATGGGAATTCCTCCCAAGTGAGCTTGTTTTAGGTCTCATAGCTTGACCTTTGACCTTTTTAGGGGGGGGGTGGATCATGAAGAGGAGTGATGGTCTCCTCCGTGGGGGTCTGATGTACTTGCATTTTACATAGTTTTAGCACATCTTTTATGCATCTTTTGCATAGTTTTAGCTCCATTTGCATCATATCTTGTTCCTTTTCTCTTCTTATGCATTCATGTTAGTTTTAGGTTGCATTTGCATACATATGCATGTTTGGTCCTTTGAAATAGGTCTTTTGGAGCATTCTGGAGCATATGGGACATGAGGAGCATGGAGGGACTTGGCACATGGACGCAGCTCAACTGGATACGCAAAGGAAGAAGGGAGAAGCCATCTTGAAGACCAGCTCGACCGTCTACTCGACCAACCGGTCGAGTTCCTCAACTCGACCGGCCAAGCTTCAACTCGATCGAGCTGAGAAGTCAACAGTCAAACCCGAAAAATGTTGCTTCCCCCTTGACTTTCCTTTGACCCTAAACCTAATCCTCTTTGTATTTAAAGGCTAAGCCACGAAAAAACCACCAAGCTTTAGATTATTTTTGTTTTAGCTTTCTTTAATTTATTGTCTTTTACTTTTTAGAACTCTAATCCCATCTTTGTGTTCTTGAAGCTCTTGCTTCTTGAATCTTAGATCCTGGATAATCTCTTTGTATTTGCACTTGCTTATTTCAATAAAAGTTGTTTAATTTCATCTCCTCTTTCTTATGATGTCTCTTTTATTGCATTTGCTTGTGTTTACATTCATGTGTAGTGAGTAGTTACCCATTGGGTTTGAGATGGGATAGATTAGAGGTTTCATATGCTTAATCCTTCTAGCTTATGGTCTTAATCTAGATTCTCTCTCTTTTGGATAGATCTTAAGGCTACATGACCACTACCCCTGGCTTGTAAGTCCTTAGGCGACTCCCCACACGAAAGTGATGGCATTCGCTGGAAAAGATCCACTAAGAGCTCCAATATCTCTTGCTCTAGAAATAGAGGTCTAAGGGGTTGGATGGATTAGTTTGGGCAATGATCCTATGCCTCCAAGGTTTGATTCTCACTGGCTAACCCCCTGTTTCTGAGATCATTCCTTGGTTGATAGCCTTCACCTTGGGAAAGGGTTGGCTAGGCATTGAGAAGCCCAATATCAAGAGAAGCCTTGATACAAGGAGTTTTAAGAGCTAGATTGATTAAGTGTAGATTCCTTGATTGCAAAACCCTGTCTTGAACCCTAATTCTCTCTTATCTTGTTAAAGTCGTCACCTTTAGCTTTGTTTGTCTCAACTCGTCCCTAAACTCGATCGAGCTGGTACTTTGTTCTGACTCGACTCGAGTCTTGGTCGAGCTGCTACTTCACTGCTTTGTTTACTTTTATTGCATGCATTTCATTTATTTAGGTTGTTAGTGTTACTTCAAATCTATTACTGCTTGCTTGACTTCCTGGTTGTTTCATATTCTCATAGAGTGACAAGTTTCCCATTTTGGATTGATAACCCTTTGTACTACATCAACTATCATGGTTAAAGGGAATTGTTGACTGTGTTTGTGTTTGCATCTTACCACCTCATCATATACCACTGATTGCATTCCATCATCTCATTTCATATCTTTTCACATCCACACACAAATCCTATCATCAATTTGGCGCCGTTGCCGATTTGGGAATATTTTTGTTGCATTTGAGTTTCAAACACACTTGGACGATCAAGCTATACCACCCCTGTTCTATTGTACTGCTGGGTTTTTGTCTCTTTTTGCAGGTGTATGCGAACTCGATCGAGTCGGTCTACTGAGGACTTGGTCGAGCTAGACTTCACAACGGGTAGAAAGAGGTTCAGAGGTTGATGATAGGATTTTATGCGGATGTGATATGAAATGAGGTGGAATGCAAACAGGGGTGAATAAAGATGATATGGTATGGTGCAATCACAATCAATCAATTCCTCTTAACCATCATAGTCATTGAAGCATAAGAGGTTATCAATCCAAAATGGGAAACTTGTTACTCTTTGAGAGTATGAAACAACCTGAAAGTTAAGCAAGCAGTTATAGATTTGAAGTAACACTAACAACCTAAAAATAATGAAAAGCAGTGCAATAAAAGTAAACAAAGCAGTGAAGTGTCAGCTCGATCGAGCTGGGGAGTGGACGGTCGAGCTGGTCTTCAAGATGGCTTCTCCCTTCTTCCTTTGCGTATCCAGTTGAGCTGCTTCCATGTGTCAAGTCCCTCCATGCTCCTTGTGTCCCATATGCTCTAGAATGCTCCAAAAGACCTATTTCAAAGGACCAAACATGCATATGTATGCAAATGCAACCTAAAACTAACATGAATGCATAAGAAGAGAAAATGAACAAGATATGATGCAAATGAAAGCTAAAACTATGCGAAAGATGCATAAAAGATGTGCTAAAACTATGTAAAAGGCAAGTAATTCAGAGGTCACAGAGGGTACAAGGGGAACCTGAGGTGCTTGTTGCTGATACAATATATTCAAAATAAACAAGGAAGCTATAGGAATCCTCAACAAGGAAGGTACAACAGTTATCCAAGCCCCCTGGCCGCACCAACAACAATGTTCCACAAGACTTCAACCAAGGACTACTCATACCCAACCAACCAAGATTGGGATATGAAGGAAATGCTCCAACAACTCCTACAAGGGCAAGCCAAAGGTTCTGTGGAAATGAACAACAAGCTGGTTGAGATACACTCTAAACTAGAGTCATTGACTTCAAGAGTCCAAATCATTGAGTCTTCAAGTGCATCATCCTCTTCACCACAAGAGTATGCCCAAGCAGTTACACTAAGAAGTGGGAGGCAATTCCCAGTAGAGGTAGCCCACCCCAAATCGCTGTGGACATCGATGACGAGGAAGGGGAGGATTTAGTCGAGTATGCTGATAACTCGACCCCGAACTCGATCGAGCTGGAACAAAACCCTGAACCAGAACTCGATCGAGCTGGAAAACTGAGACACTGCAAGACAAACCAGAGCTCGATCGAGCTCAGAAGAGAACAGACAAAGCAAACTCCAGCCAACCAGCTAAACCTGTTGCAAAGAAGAAAGACACTCCAGCAGGACCACCACCATACAAACCCCCTCTGCCCTTTCCAGGAAGGTTCAAGAAACAACTGTTGGAAGCACACAAGGCCAAGTTTGATGAACTAATGAGACAGCTTGAGCTGAAGTTGCCCTTCATCGACGCCTTGATGCTCATTCCACCTTATCAGAAATTTCTGAAGGATGCTGTTCAGCAAAGAACCAGGGAAGCACAAGGGATGGTAGTGTTGACTCGCGAGTGCAGTGCAATCATTCAGCGGAAGGTCATCTCCGACAAAAAGGAAGATCCGGGGAGTTTCACTTTGCCCTGCATGTTGGGACCCCTATCTTTCAAAAACAGCCTCTGCGATCTAGGATCATCTGTCAGCCTCATGCCTTTGTCTGTAGCAAAGAGACTGGGATATCACAAGTACCAAGCCTGCGGAATCTCACTAGTCTTGGCAGATAGATCGATAAGGTTACCAACTGGAATGCTTGAAGACCTGCCTTTGAGGATAGGGAATGTAGAAATCCCCACCGACTTCATTGTGCTTGGATGGATGAGGAACCAACAGATCCATTGATACTAGGAAGGCCATTCCTAGCTACAGCAAGAGCAATGATAGATGTCTGTGAAGGAACAATTGAGCTAAACTTGGGAAAGGACCTAAGGATGAAGTTTGATATCAAGGATACAATGAGGAAACCAACTATAGAAGGTCAGCTCTTTTATGTTGAGGAAATGGATCAGTTGGCAGATGAGCTTTTAGAAGAGTTATCAACAGAGGATCCCTACAAGTTGCTTTGACCAAGGATTCTTCAGAGGGATATGTGAGCTCAGAAACTGATGAGTACAAGAAGCTCCTTGACACCTTCAGACCAGTTCCAAACATTCTGAGCATTGAGGGATTGGACAGGCCAGTTTGCGAAGTCATGGCAGTGAGCTCGATCAAGAACTCGATCGAGTCGAGCCTCGAACAAACGAACTCGATCGAGCTGGGGCTGAATGCAAGGAGCAAGCTCAAGGAGATTGGTCTGAGCTCAAGGCACCTAAAGTCGACCTCAAACCTTTGCCTGAGGGCCTCAGGTATGCATTTCTGGGTGAAAACTCAACTTACCCTGTCATTGTGAACTCTGATTTGGAACCTGAACAGTTGAGTGCTTTGCTTGTTGAATTGAGGAAGTACAGAAAGGCAATAGGTTACACTCTAGATGATATCAAGGGGATCTCCCCTGACCTATGCATCCATAGGATTCATCTAGAGGATGAAAGTAAGTCAAGCATTGAACCTCAGAGAAGGTTGAACCCCAATCTAAAGGAAGTAGTGAAGAAAGAGATACTCAAGTTGCTTGATGCTGGGATAATCTATCCCATCAGTGATAGCACTTGGATATCTCCAGTTCATTGCGTCCCAAAGAAAGGGGGGATCACTGTCATTAAAAACGACAAAGAGGAGCTGATTCCCACTAGAACAATAGTGGGGCATCGCATGTGTATTGACTATAGGAAGCTAAATTCAGCATCTAGAAAGGATCATTTCCCTCTCCCTTTCATTGATCAGATGTTAGAAAGATTGGCAAACCACCCTTTTTATTGTTTTCTTGATGGCTACAGTGGTTTCTTCCAAATCCCGATCCACCCTAATGATCAGGAGAAGACCACTTTCACATGCCCTTATGGCACCTTTGCTTATCGAAGGATGCCATTTGGGCTGTGCAATGCTCCAGCTACTTTCCAGAGGTGCATGACCTCCATTTTTTCAGATCTGATAGAGGAGATGGTAGAAGTCTTCATGGACGATTTCTCAGTCTATGGAGCATCCTTCTCCTCATGTTTGTCTAACTTGTGCAGGGTGTTGCAGAGGTGTGAGGAGACCAATCTAGTACTCAACTGGGAGAAGTGCCACTTCATGGTTCGAGAAGGGATTGTGCTTGGACACAAGATTTCCGAGAAAGGGATCGAGCTCGATCGAGCTAAGGTGGATGTCATGTTGCAGCTCCCTGTTCCCAAGACTGTGAAGGACATAAGGAGTTTTCTGGGTCATGCAGGGTTCTACAGAAGATTCATCAAGGATTTCTCAAAGATAGCAAGACCCTTGACAAGGCTTCTGTGCAAGGAGACAGATTTTGAGTTTGATGAAGAATGCCACAAGTCTTGGACCTTGCTGAAGGATGCTCTGGTGTCTGCGCCAATAGTACAAGCTCCAAACTGGGATCACCCATTTGAGATTATGTGTGATGCATCTGACTATGCAGTAGGAGCAGTGCTTGGCCAAAAGATAGACAAGAAACTCAATGTCATCTACTATGCAAGCAAGACTATGGATGATGCTCAGTGCAAGTATGCAACCACAGAGAAGGAACTCCTTGCCATAGTCTTTGCCTTTGAGAAGTTTCGAAGCTATATAGTTGGATCCAAGGTGATTGTGCACACTGACCATGCTGCCCTTAGACACATCTTCGCTAAGAAAGATACAAAGCCAAGACTTCTCAGATGGATCCTTTTGCTTCAAGAGTTTGACATAGAAGTTGTGGACAAAAAGGGAGTAGAAATGGAGTTGCTGATCATCTCTCTAGGATGCGAGTTGAAGACATGATCCCCATCAATGATTCTATGCCTGAAGAACAGCTTATGGCAATCATGATCTTGAAAGGAGAGTTTTGATGAGAAAGTCAGGCTGGAAGAAGTTAAGGCTCTGCGTGATGAGAATTTGCCATGGTATGCTGATATAGTGAACTTCATGGTGTCCGGAGAAGTCCCTAGTAGTTTTGATGCTTACAAGAGGAAGAAATTCTTCAAGGATGCTAGGCATTACTATTGGGATGAGCCTTACTTGTACAAGAGAGGACCAGACAGCATTTACAGGAGATGCATAGCTGAAGAGGATGTACAAGGAGTTCTAGAGCATTGCCATGGGTCAGCTTATGGAGGTCACTTTGCTACATTCAAAACAGCAACAAGGTTCTGCAATCTGGATTGTGGTGGCCTACTGATGATAGGATTTTACGTGGATGAAGTGAATGAAGGATGATATGAAATGAGGTGGAATGCAAACAGGGGTGAAAAAAGATGATATGGTATGGTGCAATCACAATCAATCAATTCCTCTTAACCATCATAGTCATTGAAGCATAAGAGGTTATCAATCCAAAATGGGAAACTTGTTACTCTTTGAGAGTATGAAACAACCTGAAAGTCAAGCAAGCAGTTATAGATTTGAAGTAACACTAACAACCTAAAAATAATGAAAAGCAGTGCAATAAAAGTAAACAAAGCAGTGAAGTGTCAGCTCGACCAAGAGCTCGAGTCGAGTCAGAGCAAAGTTCCAGCTCGATCGAGTTTAGGGACGAGTTGAGACAAACAAAGCTAAAGGTACTTGCATTTTACATACTTTTAGCACATCTTTTATGCATCTTTTGCATAGTTTTAGCTGTCATTTGCATCATAGTTCAGTGGCATTTGATCTCTCTTTGTGACACTTCCCTTCCTTTAAACTTGCTGCATCTTTAAACAAGGTAGGCCACCACAACCCAGATTGCAGAACCTTGGTTGCTGTTTTGAATGTAGCAAAGTGACCTCCATAAGCTGACCCATGGCAATGCTCTAGAACTCCTTGTACATCTTCTTCAGCAATGCATTCTGTAAATGCTATCTGGTCCTCTCTTGTACAAGTAGGCTCATCCCAATAGTAATGCCTAGCATCCTTGAAGAATTTCTTCCTCTTGTAAGCATCAAAACTACTAGGGACTTCTCCGGACACCATGAAGTTCACTATATCAGCATACCATGGCAAATTCTCATCACGCAGAGCCTTAACTTCTTCCAGCCTCTTTCTCATCAAAACTCTCCTTTCAAGATCATGATTGCCATAAGCTGTTCTTCAGGCATAGAATCATTGATGGGGATCATGTCTTCAACTCGCATCCTAGAGAGATGATCAGCAACTCCATTCTCTACTCCCTTTTTGTCCACAACTTCTATGTCAAACTCTTGAAGCAAAAGGATCCATCTGAGAAGTCTTGGCTTTGTATCTTTCTTAGCAAAGATGTGCCTAAGGGCAGCATGGTCAGTGTGCACAATCACCTTGGACCCAACTATATAGCTTCGAAATTTCTCAAAGGCAAAGACTATGGCAAGGAGTTCCTTCTCTGTGGTTGCATACTTGCACTGAGCATCATCCATAGTCTTGCTTGCATAGTAGATGACATTGAGTTTCTTGTCTATCTTTTGGCCAAGCACTGCTCCTACTGCATAGTCAGATGCATCACACATAATCTCAAATGGGTGATCCCAGTTTGGAGCTTGAACTATTGGGGCAGATACCAGAGCATCCTTCAGCAAGGTCCAAGACTTGTGGCATTCTTCATCAAACTCAAAATCTGTCTCCTTGCACAGAAGCCTTGTCAAGGGTCTTGCTATCTTTGAGAAATCCTTGATGAATCTTCTGTAGAACCCTGCATGACCCAGAAAACTCCTGATGTCCTTCACAGTCTTGGGAACAGGAGCTGCAACATGACATCCACCTTAGCTCGATCGAGCTCGATCCCTTTCTCGGAAATCTTGTGTCCAAGCACAATCCCTTCTCGAACCATGAAGTGGCACTTCTCCCAGTTGAGTACTAGATTTGTCTCCTCACACCTCTGCAACACCCTGCACAAGTTAGACAAACATGAGGAGAAGGATGCTCCATAGACTGAGAAATCGTCCATGAAGACTTCTACCATCTCCTCTATCAGATCTGAAAAAATGGAGGTCATGCATCTCTGGAAAGTAGCTGGGGCATTGCACAGCCCAAATGGCATCCTTCGATAAGCAAAGGTACCATAAGGGCATGTGAAAGTGGTTTTCTCCTGATCATTAGGGTGGATCGGGATTTGGAAGAAACCACTGTAACCATCAAGAAAACAATAAAAAGGGTGGTTTGCTAATCTTTCTAACATCTGATCAATGAAAGGGAGAGGGAAATGATCCTTTCTAGATGCTGAATTTAACTTCCTATAGTCAATACACATGCGATGCCCCACTATTGTTCTAGTGGGAATCAGCTCCTCTTTGTCATTTTTAATGACAGTGATCCCCCCTTTCTTTGGGACGCAATGAACTGGAGATATCCAAGTGCTATCACTGATGGGATAGATTATCCCAGCATCAAGCAACTTGAGTATCTCTTTCTTCACTACTTCCTTTAGATTGGGGTTCAATCTCCTCTGAGGTTCAATGCTTGACTTACTTTCATCCTCTAGATGAATCCTATGGATGCATAGGTCAGGGGAGATCCCCTTGATATCATCTAGAGTGTAACCTATTGCTTTTCTGTACTTCCTCAATTCAACAAGCAAAGCACTCAACTGTTCAGGTTCCAAATCAGAGTTCACAATGACAGGGTAAGTTGAGTTTTCACCCAGAAATGCATACCTGAGGCCCTCAGGCAAAGGTTTGAGGTCGACTTTAGGTGCCTTGAGCTCAGACCAATCTCCTTGAGCTTGCTCCTTGCATTCAGTCCCCAGCTCGATCGAGTTCGTTTGTTCGAGGCCGACTCGATCGAGTTCTTGATCGAGCTCACTGCCATGACTTCGCAAACTGGCCTGTCCAACCCCTCAATGCTCAGAATGCTTGGAACTGGTCTGAAGGTGTCAAGGAGCTTCGAGTATTCCTCGGTTTCTGAGCTCACATATCCTTCTGAAGAATCCTTGGTCAAAGCAACTTGTAGGGGGTCCTCCAATGATAGCTCTTCTAAAAGCTCATCTGCCAACTGAAGAGTCCTTCCTCATTGTATCCTTGATGTCAAACTTCATCTTAGGTCCTTTCCCAAGTTTAGCTCAATTGTTCCTTCACAGACATCTATCATTGCTCTTGCTGTAGCTAGGAATGGCCTTCCTAGAATCAATGGATCTGTTGGTTCCTCATCCATCTCAAGCACAATGAAGTCGGTGGGGATTTCTACATTCCCTATTCTCAAAGGCAGGTCTTCAAGCATCCCAGTTGGTAACCTTATCGATCTATCTGCCAAGACTAGTGAGATTCCGCAGGCTTGATACTTGTGATATCCCAGTCTCTTTGCTACAGACAAAGGCATGAGGCTGACAGATGATCCTAGGTCGCAGAGGCTGTTTTTGAAAGATAGAGGTCCCAACATGCAGGCAAAGTGAAACTCCCCGGATCTTCCTTTTTGTCGGAGATGACCTTCCGCTGAATGATTGCACTGCACTCACGAGTCAACACTACCATTCCTTGTGCTTCCCTGGTTCTTTGCTGAACAGCATCCTTCAGGAATTTCTGATAAGGTGGAATGAGCATCAAGGCGTCGATGAAAGGCAACTTCAGCTCAAGTTGTCTCATTAGTTCATCAAACTTGGCCTTGTGTGCTTCCAACAGTTGTTTCTTGAACCTTCCTGGAAAGGGTAGAGGGGGTTTGTATGGTGGTGGTCCTGATGGAGTGTCTTTCTTCTTTGCAACAGGTTTAGTTGGTTGGCTGGAGCTTGCTTTGTCTGTTCTTTCTCAGCTCGATCGAGCTCTGGTTTGTCTTGCTGAGTCTCGGTTTCTCAGCTCGATCGAGCTCTGGTTCAGGGTTTTGTTCCAGCTCGATCGAGTTCGGGTCGAGTTATCATCAGACTCGACTAAATCCTCCCCTTCCTCGTCATCGATGTCCACAGCGATTTGGGGTGGGCTACCTCTACTTGGGAATTGTCGCCCACTTCTTAGTGTAACTGCTTGGGCATACTCTTGTGGTGAAGAGGATGATGCACTTGAAGACTCAATGATTTGGACTCTTGAAGTCAATGACTCAGTTTGGAGTGTATCTCAACCAGCTTGTTGTTCATTTCCAGAGAACCTTTGGCTTGCCCTTGTAGGAGTTGTTGGAGCATTTCCTTCATATCCCAATCTTGACTTGGTTGGGTATGAGTAGGCCTTGGGTGAAGCCTTGTGGACATTGGTGTTGTTGCGGCAAGGTGTTTGGATAGGTGGAGTATGTCCCTTGTTGTCCATAGCCAATTGTATCCTTGCTGAGGATTCCTAAGCCTCCTTGTCTATTTTGAATAGCAAACCTCATGTTGGTTCTCCTCCCCTTCCTGGTCTTTAACTAGAGCTTTGTCCAGACATAATTGACATGCTTGGCAGGGAATTGGGCTAGGATCAGTTTGTCCAACTTCGAGTTGAGCAAGCATGTCTTTTCTCATCTGTGCTTCCAGCTCGATCGAGTGCGCGGTCGAGCTCCAGTCTGTACTCTCATAATGTTCTCCATAGCACTCAGTTGATATGGCCATGTTCTCCACAAGCTGCCAGCCATCATCCACATCCTGGTTGAGGAAGTTCCCATTGCTAGCTGTGTCTAGCATCTCCCTATACCTAGGCAAGCATCCTCTATAAAGAGTGGAGAGTAGTGATTCATTGTTGAATCCATGGTGTGGGCACTGACTTGTGTAGCCTTTGAACCTCTCCCAAGCCTCTGCGAATGTCTCATTGTTTCGCTGGATGAAGCTGGATATCTCTCCTCTAAGCTTGGCTGTGCGACCGGTGGAGAAAAACTTAGCAAGAAAGGCCTTCTTGCATTCATCCCAAGTGGTGATTGTGCCATGGGGCAAGCTCTTCTCCCATTGGTGAGCTTTGTCAGCTAGAGACATAGGAAAGAGTCTCAGCTTGATGGCATCTTCAGAGACACCATTGATCTTTGTCAAATCACAAAGCCTATCAAACTCATCAAGGTGGTCAATGGGGTCTTCACTTGGCAATCCATGGAACATCTTGTTCTGAACAAGGTTGATCATTCCCAGCTTGATCTCAAAGTTGTGGTTCTGCACTGGTGGTGGAACAATCCCTTGTCTCTGTTGGTGGCGGTTTGGAGCATCTCCTAGACCAATCGGTCGAGTTTGCCTAGCTCGACCGAGTCCATTGCCCAAAGGGTTTCCATTCCCCTCTGGTACATCCATTGTATCAGCAACAAGCACCTCAGGTTCCTCTTGTACCCTCTGTGACCTCTGAACCCTCTTTCTACCCGTTGTAAAGTCTAGCTCGACCAAGTCTCTGTAGACCGACTCGATCGAGTTCGCATACACCTGCAAAAAGAGACAAAAACCCAGCAGTACAATAGAACAGGGGTGGTATAGCTTGATCGTCCAAGTGTGTTTGAAACTCAAATGCAACAAAATATCCCAAATCGGCAACGGCGCCAAATTGATGATAGGATTTGTGTGTGGATGTGAAATGATATGAAATGAGATGTGGTGGAATGCAACAGTGGTATATGATGAGGTGGTAAGATGCAAACACAAACACAGTCAACAATTCCCTTTAACCATAAAAGCAGCGACTTTAACAAGCTAATGAGAATTAGGGTTCAAGACAGGGTTTTCAATCTACACTTAATCGATCTTGCTCTTAAAACTCCTTGTATCAAGGCTTCTCTTGATATTGGGCTTCTCAATGCCTAGCCAACCCTTTCCCAAGGTGGAGGCTATCAACCAAGGAATGATCTCAGAAACAGGGGGTTAGCCAGTGAGAATCAAACCTTGGAGGCCATAGGATCATTGCCCAAACTAATCCATCCAACCCCTTGAATCCATTTCGAGAGCAAGAGATATTGGAGCTCTTAGTGGATATTTTCCAGCGATTTCCATCACTTCCATGTGGAGAATCGCCTAATGACATACAAGCCAGGGGTAGTGGTCATGTAGCCTTAAGATTATCCAAAAGAGAGAGAATCTAGATTAAGACCATAAGCAAGAAGGATTAAGCATATGAAACCCTAATCTATCCCATCTCAAACCCTAATGGGTAACTACTCACTACACATGAATGTAAACACAAGCAAATGCAATGAAAAAGACATCATAAGAAAGAGGAGATAAATAAACAACTTTTATTGAAATAAGCAAGTGCAAATACAAAAGAGATTATCCAGGATCTAGGATTCAAGAAGCAAGAGCTTCAAGAACACAAAGATGGGATTAGATCTCTAAAAAGTAAAAGACAATAAATTAAAAGAAACTAAAACAAAAAGTAATCTAAAGCTTGGTGGTTTTTTCGTGGCTTTTAGCCTTAAATACAAAGAGGATTAGGTTTAGGGTCAAAGGAAGTCAAGGGGGAAGCAACATTTTTCGGGTTTGACTGTTGACTTCTCAGCTCGATCGAGTTGAAGCTTGGCCGGTCGAGTTGAGGAACTCGACCGGTTGGTCGAGTAGATGGTCGAGCTGGTCTTCAAGATGGCTTCCTCCTTCTTCCTTTGCGTATCCAGTTGAGCTGCGTCCATGCGCCAAGTCCTCCATGCTCCTCACGTCCCATATGCTCCAGAATGCTCCAAAAGACCTATTTCAAAGGACCAAACATGCATATGTATGCAAATGCAACCTAAAACTACTATGAATGCATAAGAAGAGAAAAGGAACAAGATATGATGCTAATGGATGCTAAAACTATGCAAAAGATGCATAAAAGATGTACTAAAACTATGTAAAATGCAAGTACATCACTAGAGTCTAAACAGGTGAAATGATGCATTTTGGAGCAAAACCATAGGATTTGCACTTCAAGCCGCTTCAAGCACAAGCATCAACTTTAAGAGGGCCCAGAAAAAGACCTACTCAATGGATTTCATCAAGACTTGTTCCTTGCGTGCTCTGATTGAGTTAACTTTCCAACGCAACTGTAACGGCCTAATTTGGATGAGTAGAAAAGTAGTTACAACCAAAAGAGTGAAGACTGGACCAAAAGAGGGAAGCAATGCCTTGCGGCCGCGCAACCTATCTCACGTACCACGGCCGATCGCGCCGTCCGAGCCGGGAAGCCACGTTCCACGTCCGGCCGAGAAAGCATCGGCCAAACCTTCACCCGACCGACCACAGCGGCCGACCACGAATCCGTCCGGCCACGACCGTTCCGATCGTACTAAGAGCGGCCATGACTCGATCATCCGGCCGATTGTCCCGACCGACTGTCCGAACGCCGCGGTCGACCCAAAGCCCGTTTTGAAGCCCGATTTTATATTTTCAAAGCCCGTCTTAACCCTAAGCCGCCTCAAAAGACCTAGCATTATATATATAGCTTTTTAGCCTCTTGTGAAAAGAGAGCCGCCTTGTATTACGATTTCCTACTCTAAGTTTTATTGCAATCATGTTTTCTTCATCTCTATGTGTGTTTGCTTTGATCATGTCTGAGTAATCCACTAGTTAGGTTGCTAGGGTTACTATTCAATGAGTTGCTTGCATGATCTTTGATTTCGATGATTAGCTAGGGATTATATAGAGTCTTTGTCTCGTCTTGTGCACTTAACTAATGCTGATTGCTTTACCGCGCATCTAGTAATCCGATCTTAGGTTGATTTGAGCCTCGACAGTGTTGTATCATTCGCCGGACATATTCTTTGACAAGCTAGGTTTCTTAGACTGCGAAAGTTGATCTACTATAATCTAGTGAACTGTATCAGAACCTATTCATTCTAAAGCTTGATTTAATCACCTAGGGACATACCAAAAGTTTAGCGACTAGGTAGATTAGCAAAGGAGCCGGAGCCTCGAAAGTGGAATGGTTTTATATTCGTGATCTGTGTTCTAGACGGTTCTTAATATCCCACATCCCTAATCAATTCATCTATCATTGTTTCATTGATCATTGCTTGCTTCTCTGCGATTAGCCCCTGTTGACCTAGCGCTTCATCCTTATTGATTTACAACCTCGTTTACTTGCTAGTTCTGTTCACCATTACAACCTCAAACCATACTTTTGTTTTAGCTTGATCCAAAATCCATAGTTTCAAAGTGTACTCAATAGCCAGTCCTTGTGTTCGATACCATACTTCCGCGATCTGTGCACTTGCAGAGGTCTAAGAGTTTGGTAAAACCTGACTCAACATCAACCATCATAGTCATTATAGTATAAGGGGTATCAATCCATATGGGTGAAATTGTCACTCTATGAGAATATGCAATAACCAAGAAGTCAAGCAAACAGTAAATGATAAGGTGGTAACACTAACAACCTAGTGAAATGAAATGCAATGCACTAAAAGAAAGAAAAGCAGTAAAGCAATTAGCTCGACCTAGGACTCGAGTCGAGTAGGAACAGAGTACCAAGCTCGATCGAGTTGAGGGTCGAGTTGGAGTAAAAAGCAATAAAGGCAGCGACTTTAACAAGCTAATGCGAGAATTAGGGTTCAAGCCAGGGTTTTTCAACCAGGGGAACCTACATTTAATCGATCTTGCTCTTAAAACTCCTTGTACCAAGGTTTCTCTTGATATTGGGCTTCTCAATGCCTAGCTAACCCTTTCCCAAGGTGAAAGCTATCAACCAAGGAATGATCTCAGAAACAAGGGGTTAGCCAGTGAGAATCAAAACTTAGAGGCCATAGGATCATTGCCCAAACTAATCCATCCAACTCCTATGAACTCCATTTCGAGAGAAAGGGTTGTTGGAGCTCTTAGTGGATATTTTCCAGCGATTTCCATCACTTCCATGTGGAGAATCGCCTAATGACATACAAGCCAGGGGTAGTGGTCATTGATCTCGGGATCAGGTCTTGCCCTTTCCTATCCCTGATTCTGCAAGTGGACAGGTCAGAAGTAGTAAACGGGTATCGAACACGAGGACCAGATTGCACACTACATACTATAAGATTGAGATCGAGCTAGGGCAAACAATATAAGGTTTAGTTGAGTGCAACAGAAGTAAAGCATGCTGATCGCTGCATCTAAGGGATGAGTACAAGTAATAATTCCCTAAGACAACTAGTGTTGCAAGTGCACAACATATAATTGTAGTATTTAGGGGTCGAACCACAAGGGATTGGATTTCACACATTACATAATCATAGAGTTTAAATGACTAAGCTAAATCAAAAGATGCAAGGGTTTGTGTTTGTTTAGAACACGCAAAAGAAATAACAATGCAATTCTATACAAGCAACATTATTGAACTATTGAAAACTCTTTTGAAAACATGAGCCAAGTCGATTGAAAAGTTTGTTAAAATCCGATTCTTTTGAACTCAAAACACTAAGGAAGGATTATTCCACTTTCGTGGTTCCAATCCCCTATGTCTCTTAAACCAATGGGCTCAGCTTTCGTTGGTCATTGTAGAGTGAGACATGCATTACATCCAAGTAATGATTGTTCACAAAACTCTTTAGGTCTACTTTCGTAGCCTAAAACGATTTGCCCATCAAATATTGTGTCCGGAGATATAACAAGCTTTTGGAGAGTATATCAACCTAAAATCAAGTCACTAGTTAGCTACTCTAGCAACAAGCATTAAGCATAAATAAAGATGGAGAACCATAGGGTTTCCCCTTTTAACAATCGATTCAAGATGGCCATTATATCACGTCCTCATTGGAAGGATCCATAATTCAACAATGAGTCTTAGATAGTAGATGAAGTCTCATGAATCCTTAGAGAGAGAGGCGGCGGAATATAGACTAAACCACGCCTCACCCTTAGGGAGAAATCTCTACTTCTAGACTATATAAATTGAAACATGCAAGCTATATACAAATGCAAAAGAAGAAAAGAAAGAAGAAGGAGACCACCTAAGTGGCTCCGAACTTTATTGAATAAGTGTTTCTTGTTATGCGGCTGGTGATTCTTATTACAAGAGGCTAAAAGCAAGTATATATAGGTAGAGAGCGGGTCTAGGTCGGCAAAGTTGAGCGCGCGCAGAAGAGGAAAGTTTCCATTTCTCTTTAGCCGCTTGAGCTTGCTCTCCAAGTTCTTGAATGGGCCGCGTTCAGGCCAATGGAAGCTTCTGGATTGAGTTATGCTAGTGTCAAGATGAGCCAAGGCCTTGGGCGCGGTATCTCGGGCCTCTTGATCCATCAAAGTCTCCATGGGCTCTACTTAGGCGCTCGTCGGACATGTCTTGGTAGAAAATAAGTTCCGGTCCAACGAGTGATCCAAATGACCTCTTTCCACTTCGCCGCGGGTCATGACTCAAATATCTATCTTTCCATATAAGAAACATGACTTTTGGACGTCGGGAAGGCATGAATATGCGGTCGTACTTCGGATGCTCCGGTTTGGTCTTTAGCGAGAAATGTAGATTTGGTGCTCTAGACTTGGGAACTTGGTGATTTGACTCTTTTTGCTCCATTTTTGACTCTTCTTTGCTATTTTGACCTGAATGATGCTCAAAACCAGAATATACAAGAAAACTACCTCTTGGGCATAAAAACCACATTATTTGTATTGAAAACATAGTGAAAACCTTGATAAAAACATGAAAGATATGGGTATATCAACTCCCCCAGACTTAGCCTTTTGCTTGTCCCCAAGCAAACTAAGAGAGGAAGAGAGGTTTGAAAACGCAAGAACTCTCAAATCATTAGGAAATCCGGGTTGGCTTGGTTTTAGTAATCCACATGAAAGTAGTAAAGGCAAATATTTGAATTAAGAACAAGAGTACATACCATGAGTTTTGCGATTTTTCCAAGGCGGCCCACCTCTCTTTGGACAATCCAATTCACCCTCCTTGACTCCTTTCATTTCTAAAGGTGTGGTCTCAACTAGGGAGTATCGATCAGCCGGCTTTAGACTCTTTCTCATCCCCTTGTTTTGGCACTTGTCTTTTTACTCCATGTTTCTCCTCTCTCTCTTCTCACTTCTTTGAGTTGACTCATCCCTTTTTTAGGGTAGCGAAGTATTTTTTTATTCAACTCCTTCTCTTTATTATAGAGGTTTTGCTTGGATCTTCCACAGACGCGAGTATTGATGGTGTTTGCCACCGAATCCCCGGTTGCTTGGATTCATAGGCCTTCCATAGACGCGAGTATTGATGGTGTTTGCCACCGAATCCCCGGTTACTTGGACCTTACGCTTTTTCTTTAAATTTGAAGGGGAGAGAGAGGGAAGCACGAACTCACTAAGACTTTTTCATTTGATGGAGAGGATGAGGAATCATGCCATTTGTATGCCAAGCCCCTAGCTGAGAAGATTAAGTTCATTAAGGGCGGAGTCAAGAGTGGATCCTTCTCAAGTCCTTGGAGGTGTGGGCGTTTTTGGTAGATCGATCAACTCATAGTGTCCCTGTGGTAAGATGTATTGCCAAGACTGCTTCAATGGTCACTTAAACGTTAGCACAACAATGGTTAGATCCAAGATAAGGTCATAATCCTTTGACAAAATTTTGACTCAATAAAACGACTCAATGAAATTCAAAAAGAACAAACTTGTTAGTAATCCCCCCAGACTTAACTTGCACCGTCTCGGTGTAAGAAAAATCCAATTAAGAGAGGTAATGATAAATAGAATGGAAAAGTTAGAGTTTGTAGAAAATTGTACCCAAATTTTTGGCCTTTGATGTGAAGATCGGTTGTGCATAGGAGGTTGCTTCCAGGAATGAACTGACTGGTGCAAACATCATAGCTGTTGGATTTGGTTGGATGAATGTGACAATTCTCCCTTGGTTTTCTGTTTTTCGCCTTTTTGGCCGAGACTGGTCCGTTTTGGTCGACCGGATGGTGATGGTATGGACTACAGCTCGAACCGTGAAGATTTCCTCGACCTATCTTGAAATTTCGTCGACCAATATTGTATAATATGGCGACTGGTGAAGTTTGGGGTCGTTTGAACGAGTGGTTTGAGATCTCCTTTGAAAAATTTTCAAATTGGCTCCGGGAACGTCTTCCGTCGGTCTTCTCCAATTCTGCTCGTTCCAATCTGGATTTTCTTCTTTAGATGCGATGTGGAGGCTTGATGGAGGTGATTTGAGCCGGTGGCCGCGGTAAATGCCGTGATTTGGATTGTCGGCCATTTTACTTGCTCGCGATCGGCCAAATTTCACTCCATCGGCCATCTCTTGAATTGTAAGGAATTCATTGTACTGAAATGAAGTTTCATCGACCAACCTTATGTTTTGTGGCTCCTTGTGAAGTTTGAGGCGATTTGAACGTGTGGATTCGGAGATCTTTCGTCGTGCGCGCCAATGGCTTCGGGATGTGATTCCTTTGGCCATCTCTTAATCTGTTCGATCGTCTCCTTCCTTTCTTCTTCCTTGGTGTTTTTTGGACTCCAGAGGATCAGTTTCCACCGGTGTTCGCGCCTTCTTGAGGTTTTGAGTTCGTCGGCCATTCTATGCATCGCCGTCGGCCGTATTGAGCTTCTTCGTCTATCTCACGTAGCAGGCACTTTTCTCGTCCTATCTTTTGGATTTGCCGACCAAAATGATGTTTTGAGGTCGCCTGTGAAGTTTGGTGGACTTCGGTCGTGCCGTTTGGGAGATGGTCGAGCATTGTCGCTTGGTTCGTCGATTCTGGCCGAGAGAGTGGTTGTGATGTTGATATCTCCTTATTTACTCGGGCCAATTGAGTTCTGCTTCGACCGAACTGTTTTTCTATCCCTCCTGGATTGAATTGTGGTTGGATTTCCCTCATCTCTCATGTTTGGCATGTAAATCCTCCTTTGGCCGGTTGTGGCTCCTTTGCGCGCCATGTTTGTATGATATTTTGAACCGGTTCTCCTGTCATATTTTATCTGAAAAACACTAGTAACTTTTGTTAAACTCTGTCAATGATTGAGTTGTTCAAAATAGTTTGAACTTCCCAATCAAAGACTTGATCGTGAAACCATATGTACTTGTGATCTTGATCAGAAATCCAAGTAGTGTAGTGGTTTAATTTGATAGAGATAGTGTTTAAAAGAAATGACAGTAAGAATGGAAGTGATACTTACCTTTGCCTTGTGCAATAGTGTTCCAATGGCCGGATTTTATTGTGCCGTGGCCCTTCTTGGACTTCTTTGCTTCTTGAAACATGGGTGGGACTTGGGTGGGACTCAAACTAGACTCAATGCTTCATACTTAGACCAAAGATGGTTAATCTTTTGAGGTCAAGTCGTGGCTATGCAGCTTATCCAATGCATTTTTCATGTAGACCTCCTTTTTGGTACTTTTTCCTAAAACACTTTTTATTTTATTTTTGTAAAATTTATTAAACTCTCAAAAATTTAAGAGTTATAAATAGAACAAATAAATAGTTTAAAAATAAAAAAATAAAAAGAGGAAGGGATAAGAAAATGTGGGTTGCCTCCCACAAGCGCTTGTTTTAAGTCTTTGTAGCTCGACTCCTTTGTGTTCTTAGTTAGGTAGGATTGGTGGCTCCAAGAACTTCCTGTTGCCTGATGATTCCAAGTGCATCTTGTCCTGTAGAACTTCCTTGATCAAGTAGCCATGCGACTCTCCTCTTACTTGTGAGCACTCTCCTCCACTTGTGTAGCGAAATCGCTTGGATGAGAAACCGGGAGGTGCAGCATCGTAGAAGGTGTCCTTGTCAACATTGGCTAGAGAGATTCTTCTATTAGGCCAATCCATGATCGCTCCAGCTGTGGCTAGGAATGATCTTCCAAGCAAAAGCTTTAAGTCCTCCGGATCCTTCATGGTTACTACATAGAAGTTGGCTGGAACTATGCAGCCTCCAAAATCAAGCTGAATGTCTTTAACCTCTCCAAGTGGTTCGGTCAATGATGAATCAGCTAGCTTTAAATCCATTCGAGATTTCACAATTGAATTGATCAATCCCAACTTCTTGGCTATCTCGGCCGGCATAAGGTTCACACTAGAACCGGAATCGCAAAGAGCATCATCAAAGTAGCTTCCATTGATAGAGAAATGTATAAGGAAGTAACCTGGGTCATGAAGCTTGTGTAGAAACCTAGGTTTAGGCATCCCCTTTCTTGCTTCCTCGTACATCTTTTCCAATTCAGCTAGACTCCAATCTTGTGTCCAAGCTAGGTCTTGCATGAATGGACTCTTGTTGCAAGCATTATCAAACGGCACACCATAAGGGAATCTCCTCGCCATAAAGTTGAAATCATCTATGATCTCTTCAAGTGATGATCTTATCTTCCTCTTCTCCTTGGTGGGAGGCGGTTGTGAAGACTTTGAGTAAGGGTTCTTCCTTTTGGTGCTATCTTCTCTCTTGTTCCAGTGGTTAGCTTCGTGGCTCTTTCTTGATCAGCTCTACTCTTCTTCTTCATCCCAAATCACTCTTGGGTCGGTCTCTCTTATAGTAAAGACGGGCGCGGCATAGTTTTGCTTAGGAACGGTCGTCTTTGTCTCGGTCAAGACCTTCTCTTCCAAGTTGGCTAAGCGAGTGGTTAAATCCTTGACTTCCTTGGAGACTCCATCTACTTTGTCTTCAAGCCCTCTAGCTCTTCTTTGAATATCTTGGCTCCTCTTGTCTAGAGAGATGTGTAAATCTCGGATTTGTGCCTTCACTTGTTTTTGCCCTTCCACCAATGTAAGCATTGTCGAGTAACATTGCCTCTCCTTTAGGTTACTTCGGCTACCTCCCTCTTAGCTTGATGAGCTACTGCTGTTATTGAATTGAGACTCTTGGTGGTGCCATCGAGGTTGTTATCAAGACTTGAGATCTTCTCATCTAAGTGATTATCCATCTCCTTGGTAGAAACTTTGGTAAAGTGTATCGCTCTCCTATTGTCTTCAATGGCCTCGCCTTGCTTCTTCAAATCTTCCTCCATGTCCAAGCATCTTGACTCTACTCTCTCTATTTGGGTAGAGAGTTCTCCAAGTCTTCCATCTAGTTCGTATCGCGTGAACTCTAGCTTTGTCTCAATGTCGCGGCTAGTTCTTCTTTGGCTCTCCATGAAACCCTCAAGCACGGCATCGAAATGGCTATCTCTCCGCCTATTGAGAACATGGTCGTGGTGTGAATGCAACACTGGTCTAGGTGGTTGATGATAAACCGGAGGTCGGTTTTGATGATGATGGTAATGATGCTCGTCTCGGCTAGGTCCTTCAAACGTCGGATGAGCGCGGTTGGGAGGGAACGGATGTGGCACGATGCTTACGGCTGGGTCTTGGTAACTCCGGCCGTGGAGATCGTGTGGGATCAGTGTCCGGTTCCCAAAGTGGATGTTGGTGTTGTGATTCATCTCCAAGTACCTATAAACACAAGATTTAAAAAGAAAAAGTTAGTATTCGAAAATACCAAGATCTAGACTTAGTTTTAAACAAGACTATGCAAGTGTTTATGATGCAATCCCCGGCAACGGCGCCAAAAACTTGATCGCGGCATCTATGGGATGAGTACAAGTAATAATTCCCTAAGACAACTAGTGTTGCAAGTGCACAACATATAATTGTAGTATTTAGGGGTCGAACCACAAGGGATTGGATTTCACACATTACATAATCATAGAGTTTAAATGACTAAGCTAAATCAAAAGATGCAAGGGTTTGTGTTTGTTTAGAACACGCAAAAGCAAATAACAATGCAATTCTATACAAGCAACATTATTGAACTATTGAAAACTCTTTTGAAAACATGAGCCAAGTCGATTGAAAAGTTTGTTAAAATCCGATTCTTTTGAACTCAAAACACTAAGGAAGGATTATTCCACTTTCGTGGTTCCAATCCCCTATGTCTCTTAAACCAATGGGCTCAGCTTTCGTTGGTCATTGTAGAGTGAGACATGCATTACATCCAAGTAATGATTGTTCACAAAACTCTTTAGGTCTACTTTCGTAGCCTAAAACGATTTGCCCATCAAATATTGTGTCCGGAGATATAACAAGCTTTTGGAGAGTATATCAACCTAAAATCAAGTCACTAGTTAGCTACTCTAGCAACAAGCATTAAGCATAAATAAAGATGGAGAACCATAGGGTTTCCCCTTTTAACAATCGATTCGATGGCCATTATATCACGTCCTCATTGGAAGGATCCATAATTCAACAATGAGTCTTAGATAGTAGATGAAGTCTCATGAATCCTTAGAGAGAGAGGCGGCGGAATATAGACTAAACCACGCCTCACCCTTAGGGAGAAATCTCTACTTCTAGACTATATAAATTGAAACATGCAAGCTATATACAAATGCAAAAGAAGAAAAGAAAGAAGAAGGAGACCACCTAAGTGGCTCCGAACTTTATTGAATAAGTGTTTCTTGTTATGCGGCTGGTGATTCTTATTACAAGAGGCTAAAAGCAAGTATATATAGGTAGAGAGCGGGTCTAGGTCGGCAAAGTTGAGCGCGCGCAGAAGAGGAAAGTTTCCATTTCTCTTTAGCCGCTTGAGCTTGCTCTCCAAGTTCTTGAATGGGCCGCGTTCAGGCCAATGGAAGCTTCTGGATTGAGTTATGCTAGTGTCAAGATGAGCCAAGGCCTTGGGCGCGGTATCTCGGGCCTCTTGATCCATCAAAGTCTCCATGGGCTCTACTTAGGCGCTCGTCGGACATGTCTTGGTAGAAAATAAGTTCCGGTCCAACGAGTGATCCAAATGACCTCTTTCCACTTCGCCGCGGGTCATGACTCAAATATCTATCTTTCCATATAAGAAACATGACTTTTGGACGTCGGGAAGGCATGAATATGCGGTCGTACTTCGGATGCTCCGGTTTGGTCTTTAGCGAGAAATGTAGATTTGGTGCTCTAGACTTGGGAACTTGGTGATTTGACTCTTTTTGCTCCATTTTGACTCTTCTTTGCTATTTTGACCTGAATGATGCTCAAAACCAGAATATACAAGAAAACTACCTCTTGGGCATAAAAACCACATTATTTGTATTAAAAACATAGTGAAAACCTTGATAAAAACATGAAAGATATGGGTATATCACATGCAAGTAATAAGAAAGTAGAAATCAATAGGAGAGAGGGCTAAGCAATAGGATAGTCTTGAAGATAAGCAATTCATGAAGCATGAAATCAATCAATTAGGGTTACTGCAATTAGGTGCTAATCTAGAACTTGAAACACTATGGTATGATCATTCCACTGTCGAGGCTCCGACCCCTTTGTTAATCTACCTAGTCGCTAAACTTTTGGTATGTCCCTAGGTGATTAAATCAAGCATTAGTTCGATTAAGTTCAATTGTTCACAACCTACAAGTAGATCAACTTTCGCAGTCTAAAAGAGATTGCCCACCAAATACTAGTTCAGGCGAATGATACAGCACTGTCGAGGCTCAAATCAACCTAAAGGCATATGCTAATTGGCCAGATTAACAACAAGCATTAAGTATAAGCAAAGATGGAGATTATAAGTAAAACCCTAATTGTGATCAATCATCAAGCATACATGAATGCTATCCTTTGACTTCCTATCACTTAACAAGTAAACTACTCAGACATAGAGAAGGAACACGAATTCATATTCATAAGAACAGAGATTCGAATCCTCTCTAGAAAGAGAACAAGCAAGAACAAAGTAAAAGCAAGCAAAACTTTATTAAAGATGTAAAATAGATTGTGGTCTCTCTCCTTCTTGAGTTACAAGGCTAAAAAGAAGTATTTATAATGCACTAAGTATGAAAAAGCGGCTAACCTAATCTAGCTAGGTCGGCGCCGGCTTTGGGCTTGAATTGTGCGGATTGGGCTTCAAAAACGGCTTCGGGTCGACCGCGGCGTTCGGACGGTCGGTCGGGACGATCGGCCGGACAGTCGGGTCTGGCCGAGTCGGAACGGTCGTGGCCGGATGATTTCACGGTCGGCCGGCGTGGTCGGACGGGTGGGAATTTGGCCGATGGTTTCTCGGCCGGACGTGGGACGTTCTTCCCGGCTCGGACGGACATCGGCCGTGGTACGCGAGATAGGTCGCGGCCGCGAGGCTTTGCTTCCCGGCTCGCGCGGCATGGTCGTGCGCGGCGTGGCGTGGGGTTGTGGCGTGGCCGACCGCGGGATGTTCCCGGGTCGTGACGTCGGCCGGTTGGAACTTTGGCCGAGACTTCAGACGGACGGATATGTTTTGGCCGAGCGCGGAACATGCGTTCCTCGGCCAGCCGCTTTGCGCGGTTGGGCGCTGGATTCTCGATAGAGCTTGGTTGGAGCACGCAGGGAACTGGTCTTGATGAAATCCATTGAGTAGATCTTTTTCTAGCTCCATCCAAAGTTGATGCAGGGGCATTGAACTGGTTTAGAGTCCAAATCCTCTGTTTTGCTCCATAATGCACCTTTTTACCTAAAATGACTCTTTGCACTATAAATCCATAAAAACTACCTTTTAACACAAGAATCCACTAGAAAACCATTAGAAAACCATAGTAAAATAGCATAAAAAGTAGGTAAAATAGAGGTATATCAACTCCCCCAGACTTAGATCTTTGCTTGTCCCCAAGCAAATCAAATCTAAACTAGTGAAGAGGTTTTGAAAACACGAAAACTCACTTATCTTTTGGAACTTGTATCTCCCATTGCTCTGCTCTCTTTGGGACAAACTAACTTGAAGCTGGCTATCACGTACTGACCTTGAAGTTTAGCAAACCATACCGGACCCAACAAATCTCATCCAGTATTCCAAACTCTCTATTGCTAACTCCTTGCAGTATTTAAAGTGTGTGGTCTTTATCAAGGGAGTATTGATCACAAGGCATTGATTCTTACCCATCCAAGTCTTTGCCAAGATAGTCTTCTTGTTCATTCAGTACCAAACCTCTCTCCTTCTCTCTTATCTTTGAAGAATCGATTTTTCCCTACTTTTCTAGGGTATCATTTTATTTTTTCTATCGATTCTCCTTCCCTTAAGATTTCTCTTTGTGGGATACATGGATTGGCTTTGAGCTTCCTCCTTATGTATAAGGTATTCCATAAGACATGAAGGTACAGAAGTATGCATTCCTCATGCTTACTTGTTTTCCTTGTGCTCTTTGAGCTTTTGATCTTTCTTTTGCAGATAAGAGAGGATGGACTGTTTCTTTTCTAGACATATCTCAACTAAACTCAAATGAGGAGTCGGCTCTCATGAATCTCAAGCCCCTTGACAAGAGAAATTAAAAGTTCATTAAGTTGTGGAGCTAGCTCTAGATTGTGTGGGTACCTTAGAAATCTTGCCAAATCAGTAGGTTGATCCACCCTTAGAGGTTCCGTTAGGCACTGTTCGGTGTCAGATTCGCCTTAATGATCACAAGAGCTTTGGTATGATATGGTAACCTTCCTAAGAAAGATCATAGTTTCCTACTTATTTTGACTCAATAAAACAGAAGTTTTGAAAAAGTGGGTAAGGAAAAACCGGTTATAAGATCAAAACAACCATGAACAAACGCATTAGTACCGACAATCCCCCCAGACTTAACTTGCACCGTCCCGGTGAAAGAAAATCCGATTAAGGGAGTTAAAGAAAGAGGTAATAAGGCGGTTGTGAATGTAAAAAGAAAGATGTAACCTGATGTGTTATTACTTGAAGAATGGTGTATTGATGTTGAGTCAGGTTTTACCAAACTATTAGACCTCTGCAAGTGCACAGATCGCGGAAGTATGGGTATCGAACACAAGGACTGGCTATTGAGTACACTTTGAAACTATGGATTTTGGATCAAGCTAAAACAAAAGTATGGTTTGAGGTTGTAATGGTGAACAGAACTAGCAAGTAAACGAGGTTGTAAATCAATAAGGAAGAAGCGCTAGGTCAACAGGGGCTATCGCAGAGAAGCAAGCAATGATCAATGAAACAATGATAGATGAATTGATTAGGGATGTTGGGATATTAAGAACCGTCTAGAACATAGATCACGAATATAAAACCATTCCACTTTCGAGGCTCCGGCTCCTTTGTTAATCTACCTAGTCGCTAAACTTTTGGTATGTCCCTAGGTGATTAAATCAAGCTTTAGAATGAATAGGTTCTGATACAGTTCACTAGTTATAGTAGATCAACTTTCGCAGTCTAAGAAACCTAGCTTGTCAAAGAATATGTCCGGCGAATGATACAACTCATTGATTAGTAACCCTAGCAACCTAACTAGTGGATTACTCAGACATGATCAAAGCAAACACACATAAGATGAAGAAAACATGATTGCAATAAAACTTAGAGTAGAAATCGAAATACAAGGCGGCTCTCTTTTCACAAGAGGCTAAAAAGCTATATATATAGTGCTAGGTCTTTTAGGCGGCTTAGGGTTAAGCCGGGCCTTGAAAATATGAAATCGGGCTTCAAAACGGGCTTCGGGTCGACCGCGGCGTTCGGACGGTCGGTCGGGACGATCGGCCGGATGATCGGGTCGTGGCCGTGGTCGGATCGATCGGAACGGTCGTGGCCGGATGGATTCGCGGTCGGCCGCTGTGGTCGGACGGATGAAGATTGGCCGATGTTCTCGGCCGGACGCGGGACGTGGCTTCCCGGCTCGGACGGCGCCATTGCCGTGGTGGTACGTGAGGTCGCGCGGCATGGCGTGGAGTGGTCGTGGCTCGGCCGACCGCGGGACAATGTTCCCGGGTCGTGATTGCGTCGGCCGGCGGTTTGAACTTTGGCCGAGACTTCAGACGGACGGATGGTTTGGCCGAGCGTGAAACAAGCGTTTCTCGGCCAGCCGGACTGCGCGGTTGGGCGCTGATTCTCGATAGAGCCGTCTGGACAGTCTTCACTCTTTTGGTTGTAACTCCTTTTCTACTCATCCAAATAGGCCGTTCCAGTTGCGTTGGAAAGTTAACTCAATCAGAGCACGCAGGGAACTGGTCTTGATGAAATCCATTGAGTAGATCTTTTTCTGGGCCCTCTTAAAGTTGATGCTTGTGCATGGAGCGGCTTGAAGTGCAAATCCTATGGTTTTGCTCCAAAATGCATCATTTCACCTGTTTAGACTCTAGACACTATAAACACAGTAAAACTACCTTTTTAGATAGAAAACCTGCCAAAAACCATTAGAAAACAATGCTAAAACAGTATAAAAAGCATGTAAAATAGAGGTATATCAACTCCCCCAGACTTAGATCTTTGCTTGTCCTCAAGCAAAAAGAATCTAAATCCGTGAAAGAGGTTTGAAAACGTGGAAACTCCCTTGCTCTTTTGAATATCCTGTGAAAGGTTCCTTTCCTGTATTCCACTAAGAACATAGACAACATAAGGTTAGCTTCACATACACCCTGCAAGTTTAGCGAACAATACCAACCCAACTAGTCTCATCCAGCAATCCAAACTCTCTATTGCTAACCTCTTGCATAAATTTAAAGCGTGAGTTCTTTATCAAGGGAACATCGATCAATTGAACTTGTTCTTACCCACTTGATCTTCTCCAAGATTGTCTTTAAGTGCAATGAGTTCTTTTCCTCTCTCTTTCTCACATCAGAACTTTGAAAGGTCAATTTCTCCCTACTTTTCTAGGGTATCATTTTATTTTTTCTATTGACCCTTCTTTCAACCACAGGATAAGTCTTTAGCTTGTTCCTTGTTTGACTAAGGTATTCCATAAGACATGAAGGTACAGACATATGCATTCCTCATGCTTACTTGTTTTCCTTGTGCTCTTTGAGCTTTTTCTCATAAACATTACTTACCATTTGGGATGGGAGAGAGAGGAGAACTCTTTAAAGATTAGACAAATCTTATTGAAAATCAAGCAAGGAACTGTCGACATGTATGCCAACCCCCTTGACAAGAGTATTAAGATTGATTAAGGGTGAGGTTAACTCTAGATTGCTTGGTTACCTTAGAAATTTTGCTGAGCTAGCATGTCGATCCACTGTAAGAGCTTCTGTTAGGCTTGTGCCTTTAGCTGGTTTCTGCTCTAGGGTCATGGATTGTTAGCACAACACTCTCAATTCTCAAAGCAAGTTCATAACTTCCGGACTGGTTTTTGACTCAATAAAACTTTTTGAAAAACATGAAACAAAGTGAATAAAACATAAGAAAAGAAAGAAAAATGCATTAGTAACACAATAAAACTCCCCCCAGACTTAACTTGCACCGTCCCGGTGAAAGCAAATCACATTAAGGTGAGAGGTAATATTCAAAGTAAAAGAAAAATAAAGAAGAAATTCATTAAAATGAGATAGGGATAGAAAATGGAGATTTGTAAGTGTCCATTGCACTAAGTACCACTTGAGATGACTATGTGTGGCAGTGAGAAGAACTCTCTTCCTCATCTATGGGGTCATCGCCTTCTGAACCAAGCTCTGAGTCTAGTGAGAACTCACCAAGGTCAGGCTCATATGGCTCTCTAGCGGTGGAAGAAGGGCGAAAGAGTCTCTCCGGTGCAATGTGGCGAACTACACGAACTAGGCGTGAGATGAAGCGAGATTGGCATCCACGATCTTCTCCAGCTTGCTTACACGGTCTAGAGCTTGGTGCGGCCATGCCAGTAGTGAGAACATGGCGTTCTTGGTGGCGGCGTTGAGTCTTGACTGCATGCTGAAGTGTGCGATAGGTGAGCATGGGGAATGATGGTTTCTCACTTGATGGAACATAGAAGTCTTCCTCCTTGGGCTGGAAAGTGACAACACCTGAGCGTAGGCTTGGGATGTCTCATGTGGCAGCAAGACAAGGGAAGTGTTGGTTGGACCAATTGGAAACTCATAGCAAAACTTGGTTGGGTCTTTAGTCCAACGGTTTAGGAAGTGGATATGCTGAAGGGCATGGAGATCCAAAGGGGTTGGCTTGGGTAGTGGCTCATAGTTGGGAATGTCAATCCCCACATGTTGTACTATGGCCGTGATAAGCCTCCCAAAACGAACACAAAGCTTCTTGTTGCCTTCCAAGTCTTGAGCTAGCTTCCTCACATTGATAATGTCTTGGCAAGTAAAAGGCCAAGGTTGGCCTTGTACTCATGCTTGATGAATGGTGTGGTGAGGATGTAGAACTCATCAGTTGTGACCTTGTTGGCTTCTTGTTTGCATTGGAAAGTGGTGGAGATGAGGCGGTGCACATAGCGAATGGCTGGATGAGTGATTCTAGACACCTTTGACCTTGAAGGCAAGAATGGTTCATTGGCAAAGTGTGTCCAATCAGCAAAGGCAGCTTGTTTCCTCTTTGAGTTCTCCTTGAAGTCATGTGCTGTCTCATTGGGAAGTCCAAAGAGTTGGCATAGAGCTGAGATGGAGATGCGCCCATTGGCATCGCCTATCTTGAAGAGTAGGAGTCCATCACCAGCTGGTTGGTCTCCATTGTGGTTGGGAAAGGCAAGAGCTACTGTGGAGAGGAACTCCTTGGTGAGTAGTGAGTACTCACTACACTCTAGCTTGAAGAGCTTGCTCAAGCCTAGCTTCCTTATGTACCATGTGACATCATCTCTTATCTTGAGAAGATCAAGGGTTGGGTGTCCATCTTCACACAAGGTTCGATGTTCACCTTCTCCATTGCCTTCTTGCACTTTCTTGGGTCTTGGATTTGTTCTCCAACAAAGCTTACAAGTGCCCAATCATCTTCTCCTCTTGGACTCTCCACATGTTCTTGACTTGCATCAATGGAATGTGGTGAAGTTGGTATTGCTGCTCTTGCATTGGAGCTACTACTCCCTAGCTTGATTTGTTTTTTGGTGGTTCCATGAATGGGTTCTTCTTCTTCTTCATACTCTCATTTCCTTTTGTCTTTGCCATTGGGTACCTACAAGAGCAAATTCTTGGGAAGAGACATGAGTTTGTGATTAATGCAAAAGAAGAATAAGCTAATTGAGTTGTAATAATGATATGGAATAATGGAACAACTCAAGGCTTAATCATGAATCAAAGAAACAAAATGGAAATTTCACTTTTTCAAAGTTAATTTTCGGATTTTACTGTTCATCCAAGATTATGGTGCATAAAATCGAAATTTTCAGCAAATCAAGAGAAATTGAGTTTCTAATCCAAGTAATCACTAGATAAACTAATGAATTGAAGTATGCCAAGCAATTTCACCTTTGAATGAGGGGTTTGGAATGCCCAATAAGTTTTGTGAAAAACTATTCAATTGCACTACAAAAAAAGTCTTCATCTATAGCAGAAGGTTATAGCACGTTTTACTAAACTGCTATCAAAGATGTGGTCTAATTTTAGTTATTATATAATAGGATTTTGTAAACGCTATGATAGGATTTCAGTAAGCGGGAAAGTAAAATCACTTAAGCGGCTAAACACTTCGACAAAAAATACTGTTTAGCGGCTAGGACTTTTGGTTTGCTCGAAAAAAGACACTCTAAATAGTTGTGTTTAACTTTTACTCGAAAACCCTTACCCATAAATATCTCCGGCCTAATTCTCTTACGCCGGTGAAGTTCTTCCCCAGCCACCAATTAAACCCGCCGCACACTGTATTGCAAGTAGCCGTATCCACTGACTCGGTTCCTGACTCCTAATTTTGACTATCTCCGTCGGCATTGAGCTTGAATCGAAGGCATGTCTTAATTTCCCAGATGCTTGTTTATCGACTTTTGTTTAATTTTATTTCTTTCTTTAGTTAACTTGTGAGAGTAGACGATGATTTTCTAAGATACTGTCTGTACAATTTTCGATTTTGGGGTTTTTGATTCTATACCTCTATATTTTTGGGATTTTGCATGCATATGTTTTTTGATAAAGTAGGCTAATTTCTTGACATTTTGGGTTGTGTGATGAGAACTAGATGTAAATGAATCTGGTTTCTGCATTTCTCAGAGTAATTTTCAATGAATCTGTTTTATTAAGTATTTGAAAATTGTGATGAATCTTTTTTTATTTGTGACAAACACAATATAATCGATGAATTACTGCTTCCGTTATTGTCAGATTGAAATGGAATTGAATGGTTTAGGAAGTAGTGGTTATGCTAGCTATCATGTTTCCTTCTTTCAACAAGCGTGGTTTTGATAGTGTTTTTAAACATTTAGTGATACACGCTGATGCATAACGTCATACTCTCTCTGTACTTTTCTTTGCAAGTGTTGCTGAGCAAAACAATTGGAAATAAAAGGTTTTCTTTGCCTCGTACCACAGGACAGGTTAGTACTTCTACCATATAGCAAGCCCTTGTCATGATTGATTGAATAGTTACATTGCTGTGTTTATGAGTTACTGGTTCAGTTTGATTGCTGTCAAAGTTCTTGATATAAGTTTCCAACAGTGTATTGATCTTCTGTGAATTTGAATTATTGAAATTTGTTTTCTGGGTTTCATGTTTGAATTCAACATAGTTAACTGCTCTGACATTGCTGGAATATAGTCATTATATAATTGTATTCATATATGATCTGGAACTGGATTTATTTGTTAAGTGTCATATATGCTTGATGATTATATGATGATGATGGTACTAATGTTTTAATTACGGTTAGAACTTACAATGGTGGATAAGGAATGGGTGCATCTTTCCAGGTAAGAGATTTGCAGAATATAGGTTAGGTCTAAGTGGGGTTTAGAAAGTTTACTAGTTTTCTTTCTGTTAAATCTACATTGAAGAACTGATCCTGCTTACGAGAGAGGAGTTTCAAAGTTTGTAGAAGAAGTGGCTGCGGCATTTGGAGACGTTGAGATGATTATTTGTCCCTGCATCGACTGTCGAAATATAGATCGTCACTCAGGAAGTGTAGTAGTTGATCATCTTGTTACTAGAGGGATGGATGAGGCATACAAAATGAGGTCTGACTCGTATCATCATGGAGAACTGAAATTGGGGGTTGAAGATGTAAAGATACCAAGTCAATGGAATGATGAGATCTTTGGGTTATTTCAAGCTGCTGAGTTCATGGATGAAGAGTTCGCTACTAAGGCTGACTTGCGTGAGATTGCTGAGGGTGAGGACAGGAAAGAAGATGAGTTCCTCGCAAAGCTTGTTGATGCTGAAACACCATTATATCCAAGTTGTGTAAGCCATAGTAAGTTGTCGGCTATTGTCTCACTGTTTAGACTCAAGACACATAATGGCTGGTCTGACAAAAGCTTCAACGATCTGCTAGAGACATTGCCAGAGATGTTACCAGAGGATAATGTGCTACATACTTCACTATACGAGGTGAAGAAGTTTCTGAAATCTTTTGACATGGGTTATCAGAAGATACATGCATGTGTCAATGACTGTTGCCTATTCAGAAAGAAGTATAAGAAGTTAGAGAAATGTCCTAAGTGCAAGGCTTCCCAGATGGAAAACCAACATGCACAACGGTGAGGAGAAGAAAGGTGTCCCACAGAAAGTATTGCGGTATTTTCCAATAATTCCAAGGCTGAAGAGGATGTTTAGGTCTGAGGAAATGGCTAAGGATTTACGGTGGCATTACAGTAACAAGAGCGACGATGGTAAACTACGCCACCCTGTAGACTCAGTCACGTGGGATCAGATGAACGAGAGATATCCTGCCTTTGCAGCTGAAGAAAGAAACGTTCGGCTTGGACTGTCTACGGATGGATTTAATCCATTCAACATGAAGAATACTAAGTATAGTTGCTGGCCAGTTTTGTTAGTGAACTATAATTTGCCGCCAGACTTATGTATGAAGAAGGAGAACATCATGCTCACCTTGTTAATTCCTGGACCGAAACAGCCTGGTAACAGTCTTGATGTCTATCTAGAACCTTTAATCGAGGATCTAGACCACCTGTGGAAGATTTGAGAGCTAACATATGATGCATTCAGTAAATCTACGTTCAATCTTAAAGCAATGCTGCTTTGGACGATCAGTGATTTCCCTGCCTATGGGAATCTTGCTGGCTGCACAATAAAGGGTAAAATGGCATGTCCGTTGTGTGGGAAAAACACAGACAGTATGTGGTTAAAGTTCAGCAGGAAGCATGTCTATATGTGTCATAGAAAGGGTCTGCCACCGTCACATAGTTATAGAGGAAAGAAGGCTTGGTTTGACGGAAAAGAAGAACATGGGAGAAAGGGAAGGATATTAACTGGACAGGAAATTTCCCAAAATCTGAAGAATTTCAAGAATGACTTTGGAAATTTCAAACAATCTGCAACTAAGAGAAAAAAACCAGATAATGCTAGAGGAAGCTCTGACAGTGAGGAGAGTGGTTCGGAGGAAGAAGAAGATGAGGAAGTACAAGTAGACAAGGAGGAATTATCAAGATGGAAGAAGAGGTCTATCTTTCTCAAGCTACCTTATTGGGAGGTACATACTAATCTTAAAAAAAAAAATTGAATTCTATAGGTATTTTGATTACATTTGATCACTGACTTTGTTTTGTGTAATCGTCTTGTATAGAAACTCCCTGTACGACATAACATAGATGTCATGCATGTTGAGAGAAATGTGGCAGCAAGTATTGTGTCTACGTTGTTACATTGTGGGAAATCAAAAGATGGCATTCAAGCCAGAAAGGATTTGGAGAATCTCGGTATTAGGAAGGATTTGCATCCTTGCACCCAAGAGAAGAAAGTCTTCTGTAGGCAGCTTTTTGACTTCAAAGGCCGTGACGGCTACTGTTCAGACATATCCAGAGGCATATCATTAGATGATTGTAAGGTAACGGGTCTGAAATCACATGATTATCATGTGTTAATGCAGCAGCTTCTTCCGATTGCACTAAGAGGGATGTTACCGAAAGGTCCTAGAGTAGCACTAGTACGCTTTCTTCAGTCAATTGTGTCAGCGAGTAATTGTTAGGGAGCAGATTCTGATAATGGAAGCTGAGATAGTAGGAACGCTATGTATGTTTGAACGATTTTTCCCTCCAAATTTCTTTGATATCATGGTCCACTTAACCGTACATCTAGGAAGGGAAGCTCGACTTGGTGGACCAGTTCACTTTAGATGGATGTACCCATTCGAGAGGTATGTGTTGTACCCTATACGATATTTTCTACTTTAATTTCGTTTACACATATCTAGTGTTGCTAACCTATTAGATGTCCTACTTTTCTGATATATGAAAGTTCTCAAAGATTATGTACGAAATCCGGCTAGACCTGAAGGGTGTATTGCTGAGTCTTATCTTGCTGAGGAATGCATTCAGTTTTGTAGTGAGTTTTTGAAGAAGACAACAAACTTACAAGACAAAGTAGACAGAAATACAGAGTAGGAGAGCAACTCTATACTAGAGGGTCGCCCAATATCTGCATGCACTACAATTGCTCTTACAGAAACAGAGATGAAAATTGCCCATCTCGCTATCATCCAAAATATGGCCGTCATTTATCCTTATGTCGAGTAAGTTCCACATCTTAGAGACATTGTTGTTTGTCATTACTATCTCCCTTCGCGTGTCTAATGAAATGTTTTGTTTTTTTCTTTTTCAAAACCAAGTGAACGCCTTCAGTATCTACAAGACTCAAATGGAAGATGTAAACGTGATGCATCATTTCTATGGAGTATGCACACTGAGAACTTTGCATCTTGGCTTAAAAAACAGGCAAGTAGAATTCCATTTTAACTTGATGTCGTCTACTTATCATTCTGTATGTATATGTCTAATTTATGGTTTTCCAGATACCTCTTGATTCAGACGACCATGGAGAAACACTTAAATGGTTGGCTTATGGACCACGTAGCTCTGCACGGTCGTATACATGTTATATTGTGAATGGGCAACGATTTCACACAAGATCAGTTGATAGGAAAAGTCAGAATAGTGGGGTTTTCTATGAGGCTACAGCAGTATGTAGGTGATGTACTTGCATTTTACATAGTTTTAGCACATCTTTTATGCATCTTTTGCATAGTTTTAGCTTCCATTTGCATCATATCTTGTTCCTTTTCTCTTCTTATGCATTCATGTTAGTTTTAGGTTGCATTTGCATACATATGCATGTTTGGTCCTTTGAAATAGGTCTTTTGGAGCATTCTGGAGCATATGGGACATAAGGAGCATGGAGGGACTTGGCACATGGAAGCAGCTCAACTGGATACGCAAAGGAAGAAGGGAGAAGCCATCTTGAAGACCAGCTCGACCGTCCACTCGACCAACCGGTCGAGTTCCTCAACTCGACCGGCCAAGCTTCAACTCGATCGAGCTGGGGAGTCAAAGTCAAACCCGAAAAATGTTGCTTCCCCCTTGACTTTCCTTTGACCCTAAACCTAATCCTCTTTGTATTTAAAGGCTCTAAGCCACGAAAAAACCACCAAGCTTTAGATTACTTTTGTTTTAGTTTCTTTTAATTTATTGTCTTTTACTTTTTAGAGATCTAATCCCATCTTTGTGTTCTTGAAGCTCTTGCTTCTTGAATCTTAGATCCTGGATAATCTCTCTTGTATTTGCACTTGCTTATTTCAATAAAAGTTGTTTAATTTCATCTCCTCTTTCTTATGATGTCTCTTTTATTGCATTTGCTTGTGTTTACATTCATGTGTAGTGAGTAGTTACCCATTGGGGTTTGAGATGGGATAGATTAGAGGTTTCATATGCTTAATCCTTCTAGCTTATGGTCTTAATCTAGATTCTCTCTCTTTTGGATAGATCTTAAGGCTACATGACCACTACCCCTGGCTTGTAAGTCCTTAGGCGACTCCCCACACGAAAGTGATGGCATTCGCTGGAAAAGATCCACTAAGAGCTCCAATATCTCTTGCTCTAGACAATAGAGGTCTAAGGGGTTGGATGGATTAGTTTGGGCAATGATCCTATAGCCTCCAAGGTTTGATTCTCACTGGCTAACCCCCTGTTTCTGAGATCATTCCTTGGTTGATAGCCTCCACCTTGGGAAAGGGTTGGCTAGGCATTGAGAAGCCCAATATCAAGAGAAGCCTTGATACAAGGAGTTTTAAGAGCTAGATTGATTAAGTGTAGATTCCTTTGATTGCAAAACCCTGTCTTGAACCCTAATTCTCTCTTATCTTGTTAAAGTCGTCACCTTTAGCTTTGTTTGTCTCAACTCGTCCCTAAACTCGATCGAGCTGGTACTTTGCTCTGACTCGACTCGAGCTCTTGGTCGAGCTGACACTTCACTGCTTTGTTTACTTTTATTGCACTGCTTTTCATTTTATTTAGGTTGTTAGTGTTACTTCAAATCTTTAACTGCTTGCTTGACTTCCTGGTTGTTTCATATTCTCATAGAGTGACAAGTTTCCCATTTTGGATTGATAACCCTTTGTACTACATCAACTATCATGGTTAAAGGGAATTGTTGACTGTGTTTGTGTTTGCATCTTACCACCTCATCATATACCACTGATTGCATTCCACTCATCTCATTTCATATCTTTTCACATCCACACACAAATCTTACCATCAGTAGGTCTAGTGTGAAATACACTTCACAGGTGGTTGATTTGGTATCATACTATGGCAGAGTAACATACATTATACTGATGGATTATAATGTCTTTTACGTTCCTCTATTTCGGTGTCAATGGGCAGTGAAGGGTAATGGAGTTAAGATAGAAGAGGGTTTCACACTAGTTAACATGAATCATAGTCAAGTCTCGTTTTCAAAGGATCCATATATATTAGCCTCTCATGCAAAGCAAGTGTTTTACCTCAGAGAAGACGAGTCATCAAATTGGCATGTTGTTATGCGAGGCCCTTCACGGAGATACAATAAGAAAGAATCTGATGATGGACTTGCCGAAATTGGACCATTGCCATCTAGTGTTGTCATGGATGTAGACATGGAAGAAGCAGAAAGTAGTCGGGCTGATTGTGAAGGCATATATGCGTTAAACGTAGTTTCTTGATCATTTTTTCTTGATTTTGTGTGCTCTGCGTGATGTTTGGTTGCTCATTTGTTAGATTTTCTTGACTTGTTCTTTTTTTTTACTTGTTCATTTTACTGACATATTTCAGGAGATCTAAGATGTGCACTACAAAAAAGAAGAGAGGAAGGAGACCAAAAACAGCTAACCCTATGGTGAATGAGGAGGCAGGATCTGTGGGAAACATTGAAACACAAACTGAGTGTCAGTTAGAAGACGAAATCCGAGAGGATGTAAAGAATGAAATGTCTGAGGAAGGAGTGAATGAGGAGGAACCTGAAGGTGAGATTGAATTATCCGGAGAGGATGCCAATGTGGCTGAGCCGAAACGAAAGAGACAAGGAGGACCAACAAGGATGAGAGACATTGCCAAGGATCCAAATAACAGAGTTCAAGTAGACTTCACCATTATGGGTGAACCTTACGGTTCTGGGTCCGTTAAGCTGTCGTCGTATGTAGGTGCCTTAGTACGAGAACACGTTCCTATCACAATTGATCGTTGGACAAAGATCGGTCAAGATGTGAAGACAGTTCTCTGGAAATCTGTCCAGGTGAGTGTTTATTTTCATTGACAAGTAATTACTATATCTGTAGTTTATTTGGTAATAAGTAACTCGAATTTCGTGTAGGCACGATTTGAGCTGGACGAAGCTTATCAAAAGACACTGGTACTCAAGCAGATGGGATGCTTGTGGAGATCATCGAAATCTCGCGTCGTGAAGGAGATCATGGAAGCTACCAACAACCAACAAAGGATGAATCAGCGTCCTAAAAATGTTACTCCGGTTGATTGGCGAAAATTTGTTAAAATCAAAACTAGCCAATCATTTAAGGTAAGCATATTGGTTTTTATATTCTGGTGGTAATAATATCTTACTAACGCTCTTCTCTTCTAGGAGTTGAGTGACAGCTACAAGGAACAAAGAAGTAAACAAATTCCTCACACATGTAGTCGCAAAGGAATGGTGAGACTTACTGAAGAGATGGTAAGTACACTGCTTGAAAGTTGTCCTTCTTTCAATATACTTAGTCTTTTGATTGATTTGATTCTGGTTTAGAAAAGCGCTAGTTCAGACCCATCTGAAGTGTCAAGACTAAAGGTGTTGGTGAAGTCGCGGACCAAAAAGGATGGTACAGCAGTGAATACCAATGCCGCAGAGAAGATTGTGAGTTTGACATTTTACTAATCTCTATTTTTTTTGGGTAATGGTTGTTGTGTACATGTTGGTTTAGGAATTGACTGTCACATACAACTATGTGTTGCAGATAAAGGCAGCGGATATTCTTAATCGTGGTAATCCGTCTACTGCTTCAAATGAGTGTGAAGATGCCCTTAACCAACTGTTAGGACCTGATAATCCAGGTCGATTGAGGACGATGGGCAGAAACATGAGTAAGACTAAGCTAGCTTGTTTCCAAGTGAAGCATAAGTGTATGGCTGAAATGGAAGAGAAGCAAATTCACCTCCTGCAAAAGGTCACCGAGTTACAAGAGGAAATTGCCAAAATGAAGAACCAGGTTAGACACTGCAGTAAAAATACATTAAGCTTCTCAACTATTAGCTAAGATGTAATTTTTACTTTTATTTTCTTAACAGAGACAAGAACCTGAAGTTGGCGAAAACTCAGCAGCAAAAGTAAGTACATTATATCAGAATCATTATTTTTTCATAGTTTGGACTCTGAAATTTGTTTTCTACAACAAATTATGTAGAGTGTGAACAAGAAAACACAACCTAAGTGTATCTTGCTTGATTGGGCTGATGATGATACCAATGTTGCTGAGGGTCGTATTATTTCTTCTGATCCGGATGAGGCAGTGAATGATACTCGGTTAGGCCATACAGATGTGAAAGTATTGGTTGAAATTGCTACTGTACCAGACGCATACCTCTGGAGACCTGCGAGTACAATGTTTACAATTCAAGATGCAGTTGAACAGATGATTGCATGGCCTGCTGCTAAGTGTGTTAATATAGAACAGGGGATCCAACCAGAAGACATTGCAGAACTGGTAAAGTTTATAAATTTCTCGTTTACTGTATTTTTCTTCTTGCTTAAATGGGTGATTATTAATTGTTTAGTATAAGGTAACATACAACAAAAAAGTTGTTTTAATGTGTTTGGCAGGGCGCAAAGAATAATTGTCTGAACAAATGCAAGCTTCTGGATTTGTCTTCCGATGATGTAGTCGTCGCTCAAGGACGTTGGCAGACACAAGATTCCAAGTCATTGGTTAATGGACTTCCACTCGGTCCGAAAGCAGTGAAAGTATTTGTGGATGACATACAACAACCGGATACATTTATATGGAGGCCTACGATGGATGTGGCATATCTTGAGGACTGCTTACAGTCTTATGTAGTGTGGCCTGTCAACAAAGTTGTCTTCGAAAACAGTACGACCGCAGGAGCTCATAAATCTACTCAGAATTCTGAATCAAGCGGAAGAAATACCGGATTTACAGCAGCAACAACTGGTCCAAAATCTCGTAGTGATTCATTTCCGGCTACATCTCATGGTGATAAGTCTCCGGCATCATCTCAGGTAATTTAATTGGCTACATCTGTGATGTGAATTTTGATTTTGATTAACCTTATCTACTCCTAACATATTTGATTGGGAAACATATATGAAGAACTATGGAGCAGAAGCTATCAAGGAAAATAAGAAGTGCAAGTTGATGGATATAAGCGGGAAGAAGCGTTTTGTTGCTGAAGGACGTGTGCATTCAACTGACCCAGAACAGAAGGTGCATTTTGTTCGGTTGGGTTCTAAGGCAGCTAGAGTTTGGGTAGATTCGGTGAAGGAAGATGATGCACCAGTTTGGAGGCATTCAGATGAAATCGAGTATATGAAAGATGCACTTGGTTCATCTATCGCATGGCCAATCGATAAATTGGTCGTCTTCTGAGTATGAGAAACTAAGGTAATTAAATAAATCTTGTCATTGGTGGTGTGAGTATGCATTGGTTTGCCTTGTGCTACTGTAATTGTCAAACTGATGGTCATAATTGGTTTTGTTGCAGGGAATGAAGCTACTTTGGTCCACATTAGATAGTTTTAACTAGTTTAAAACTAGACTAATGTACGTGTGGTTTGTGTTGGTTCTGTGGGATTCAAACTTCTGAGATTTGTGTTTTGCTAAAACTATCTTTATGCTTCAGAGATTCAAACTAGACTTGTGCTTTGTATGTTGGATTGGTATTCAGTACAATCATATGGATGGTTGTATTTCATTATAACAGGTTCTGTTTCTTTCATTATTACAATATAACGGGTTATAATAGCAAAAAAAAAAAATGGTTATAATTCGTTCCATAGCGATAATCAGTAGTCATGAATTTGTGTATGATAGCAATTACAAAGCTATAACATACTTCTCTACAACAGCTATACTAGCGTTGCAAATTTGCTATTATAGACGACTCTTTCATAGCACGAGAAGTGAGTTTTTATAAAAAAAGATAACAGAAATAGGTAGTGCTACAAAAACCTACACAATAACATTGAAAATCTGCTATGGTATGTTAAACTACGTTAGCGTAGACAAAAACGCTATCTTAGAGGTGGAACCTATTATAGCTGCCGATGACATAGCATTTATGATAACGCTATGGTACACATATAATAGCAGATTTTTCGTGTTAAGAATGTACATATTTCTTGTAGTGTTGTGAAATTAAACTCTAAATAACTCTAAACCACCTAGGTTCCACCTAGCTAAGTTCATTAAAAGACTAATAGGAGTGGTAATTTCAATTTTAGACAAGAGTTTAGACCAAACAAGAAACTTATTGAAAATTTCGATCTTGCATAAACATGGGATTAGAGTTTAAAAGACATACCTTGTGTATTGAAAAGTGAATAATGGTTGCAAGAGCAAGTAAATTCCAAATTAGAGTTATGAACAGTAAAAGTTTTGAAATCAAAGCTCTTAGAGTTCCTCTAATGGAGTTTTAGGGTTTTGGAGAAGAAAGAGAGGTTCTTGTTGTTTTCAAGGGAAAGGTAAAGTAAATAAGCTAAAAGTTCTATTAATTCTCCTTTTCAAATTCGAATTTTGATTGAAAACCGGTTTAAGTTGGTTTAGGATTGGTTAAAACCGGTTTGAATTTAATGAAAAGGGGACTTACCTTGGCCGAGAAAAGTTTGGGCCGATGACCGAGAGATTTTGTCGCGGCCGTGTGATTTGGTCGGCCAAATTCGCATATGGACGAGAAATTTCGGCCGAGGCCGAACGTTCGCTTCCCGGATCGACTGGCACGGTCGGTCCGTTCCGATACATAAATCCGGCCGATCGCGGCCTGTTCCCTCTCTGCCCGTGCGTTTCGCGCGGACGGTTCCTGTCGCGCGATAGAATAGATCCGGCCGAGCATAAACCGTTCCTTTCCCGGCTCGACCGGTGGTCGGCCCGAGAGGAAATTTGCTCGGCCAAAATCATTTTGCGCGTCCGCGGCCAATGTTTGGCGCGGATTGTGTTTTCACACCTTTTTCTCCTTCTATCCTATCTTAAAACAAAGAAAACACAAAAGCAAAACAAAAACTAAGAAATTAAAGAAAGAAAAGTAAAAGTACCTCATGGGTTGCCTCCCATGCAGCGCTTGTTTTAAGTCTTTAGCTTGACTGTAAGGCTTGGCACTCAGGAGAAGATGGAGACAAGAGGCATCTTTGATCCTCCAAGTCTTTTCTCCTTGCAATGAGTATCTGGTGGGTGATTCACAGCTGGATAGACAATCTCTCCATGAATGTCCCTTGGCACTACTGCCTTAGGAAAAAGCTTTAGAGTTCTTGTCACTTTCTCCTTGAATCCTTCTAGATTCTCATCAATAAGCTCCTTTGGGAATAGAAGCTTCATGTTGCGGCCAGACCTAGGCTTTCTAACCTTCTTTCTTGGCTTGGCCTCATCTTCAATCTTGGTTGATCCCTTGGGCGGTTTTGGTGTAGGGGCCTTAGTCTTACTCCTTGCTTGTTTGGCAAGCTGCTTGGGCTTAGGAATGGGATCTTCCTTGATTGTTTCTTCAGTTTCTCCTTCTTGGGGTGGCTTCAAAGTAACTTTCTCCTCTTGGACCATGTCAACAAAAGAGTTCTTTGTTGAACACATAGGGAAGAACATACCCTTGTTCACCTTGTTGAAAGAGATTCTTTGATTGGGGAAATCAAATATGGCACCCACAGTAGACAGGAAAGGGGTTCCAAATATGAGAGGTCTATGGCTACTCTCTCTCATTTCCACAATCTGGAAATCGGTAGGGATAGAGCAATTTCCAATCTGCACCATCACATTAGGCACAAAGCCATAGGGGGTTTGTGAGAATGAATCAGCATAGTTGATGGAGATGGATGATGGCTGTATCTTGGTGAGGCCTATCTTGTCAGCTATCCTCTTAGACATGATGTTCACATTGGCTCCTGTGTCACACAAAGATTGCTCAAGAATGTTACCTTTGATGATACAAGGCACAACAAACTTTCCTGAGTTATCAGTCTTGGGGATAATCTTTGGGAAGAGTCTTCTCTTTCTAGCTCGATTGGACTCTCTCTCTGGGTAATTCTCTTCAGGCCAAATCATGCAATCAACAGTAGGTTTTGAAAGCATCCATTCTGGAACTTGGTCTTCAAATCTTTCTTCTATGGCGGCTGAGTTGCAAAAGGACTTCTTGGATTCAGCTTCCTGTCTCTTAACAGCTTCCATAGTTTGAGTGACTTGAGTCTCTAGTTTCTTCACATGAGTGGCAACAGCATCATACTTGGTGTTGAGATTGCTGAACAAAGTGTCCATCTTCTCATACATCTCTTTGTATTTCTCTTCTGGCCATCCATGATCTGTTGGAGGATTCCTTCAAATCTCCCACCTTGTTGGTTTGGAGGAGCTTGATTTGGTGAAGAAGCATATGGCTCCTTGGGCGGATATGATGATCTCTGCTCATATCCCTTGCCTTGGCTGAAATTGACTTCCTTGAGATTGGTAAGGAGGTCTTTGTTGTTGTGGATACCTTGGAGGATACACTTGGTCTTGAGGATTGATGTACTTGCATTTTACATAGTTTTAGCACATCTTTTATGCATCTTTTGCATAGTTTTAGCTTCCATTTGCATCATATCTTGTTCCTTTTCTCTTCTTATGCATTCATGTTAGTTTTAGGTTGCATTTGCATACATATGCATGTTTGGTCCTTTGAAATAGGTCTTTTGGAGCATTCTGGAGCATATGGGACATGAGGAGCATGGAGGGACTTGGCACATGGACGCAGCTCAACTGGATACGCAAAGGAAGAAGGGAGAAGCCATCTTGAAGACCAGCTCGACCGTCTACTCGACCAACCGGTCGAGTTCCTCAACTCGACCGGCCAAGCTTCAACTCGATCGAGCTGAGAAGTCAACAGTCAAACCCGAAAAATGTTGCTTCCCCCTTGACTTTCCTTTGACCCTAAACCTAATCCTCTTGTATTTAAAGGCTCTAAGCCACGAAAAAACCACCAAGCTTTAGATTATTTTGTTTTAGTTTCTTTTAATTTATTGTCTTTTACTTTTTAGAGCTCTAATCCCATCTTTGTGTTCTTGAAGCTCTTGCTTCTTGAATCCTAGATCCTGGATAATCTCTTTGTATTTGCACTTGCTTATTTCAATAAAAGTTGTTTAATTTCATCTCCTCTTTCTTATGATGTCTCTTTTATTGCATTTGCTTGTGTTTACATTCATGTGTAGTGAGTAGTTACCCATTAGGGTTTGAGATGGGATAGATTAGAGGTTTCATATGCTTAATCCTTCTAGCTTATGGTCTTAATCTAGATTCTCTCTCTTTTGGATAGATCTTAAGGCTACATGACCACTACCCCTGGCTTGTAAGTCCTTAGGCGATTCCCCACACGAAAGTGATGGCATTCGCTGGAAAAGATCCACTAAGAGCTCCAATATCTCTTGCTCTAGAAATAGAGGTCTAAGGGGTTGGATGGATTAGTTTGGGCAATGATCCTATGGCCTCCAAGGTTTGATTCTCACTGGCTAACCCCCTGTTTCTGAGATCATTCCTTGGTTGATAGCCTTCACCTTGGGAAAGGGTTGGCTAGGCATTGAGAAGCCCAATATCAAGAGAAGCCTTGATACAAGGAGTTTTAAGAGCTAGATGATTAAGTGTAGATTCCTTGATTGCAAAACCCTGTCTTGAACCCTAATTCTCTCTTATCTTGTTAAAGTCGTCACCTTTAGCTTTGTTTGTCTCAACTCGTCCCTAAACTCGATCGAGCTGGTACTTTGTTCTGACTCGACTCGAGTCTTGGTCGAGCTGTTACTTCACTGCTTTGTTTACTTTTGCATTTCATTTCTTTTCATTTAGGTTGTTAGTGTTACCAAATCTATTACTGCTTGCTTGACTTTCTGGTTGTTTCATATTCTCATAGAGTGACAAGTTTCCCATTTTGGATTGATAACCTCTTGTACTACATTGACTATGATGGTTAAGAGGAATTGATTGATTGTGATTGCACCATTTCATCTTTATTCACCCCTGTTTGCATTCCACCTCATATCTTATCACCTTCATTCATATCATATCACATCCACGTAAAATCCTATCATCAAGGATTCTCCACATTGGGGTTTCTATAAGACATGTTGGGGTTTGGGCGATAGCTTGGATTGTATACCTTGTTCCCATAGTTTCCAATGTAGTTCACATCTTCTTCATTGGCTTCATTAGAGAAATCTCCCATGCATTCTCTTGATGGGTCTTCATTGCATCACTCATCCCTTCTATTGCATTTATATGCTTGAGCTGTCCCTTAAGAACTTGAGCCATCATGTTCTTGAGTTCAGTCATTTGAAAAGAATCAGGGGAGCTAGTAGTGGTGCGGCTTGAGCGGTCATAATCAGGACAATTGTTACAATCACTAGCTGCAAGATTCTCAATAAGAACCTTAGCTTCATCAACTGTCTTGGTCATGAAGTTTCCATTGCTTGCAGTGTCCAATGAAAGCTTGTACTTGTGGTCTATGCCACGATAGAAGATGTTCCATAGGTTTCCCTCATTGAAACCATGATTAAGGCAGTCCCTAATGTACTCCTTGAATCGGTCTAGTGCCTCATGGAAAGATTCATTAGTGGCTTGGCGGAAGTTGGAGATCTTGTTCCTTACAGAAACTGATCTTTGCTTGATGTAGAAGTGGTTGATGAAAGCGGCCTTGTACTCATCTGATGTACTTGCATTTTACATAGTTTTAGTACATCTTTTATGCATCTTTTGCATAGTTTTAGCATCCATTAGCATCATATCTTGTTCCTTTTCTCTCCTTTGTGAAGCATAGTAGTTTTAGGTTGCATTTGCATACATGTGCATGTTTGGTCCTTTGAAATAGGTCTTTTGGAGCATTTTGGAGCATATGGGACGTGAGGAGCAAGGAAGGACTTGGTGCATGGACTGGATACGCAAAGGAAGAAGGAGGAACCATCTTGAAGACCAGCTCGACCACCTACTCGACCGGCCAAGTTCAACTCGATCGAGCTGGGAAGTCAAAGTCAAACCCGAAAAATGTTGCTTCCCCCTTGACTTCCCTTTGACCCTAAACCTAAATCCTCTTGTATTTAAAGGCTAAAAGCCACGAAAAAACACCAAGCTTTAGATTACTTTTTGTTTTAGTTTCTTTTTAATTATTGTCTTTTACTTTTTAGAGCTCTAATCCCATCTTTGTGTTCTTGAAGCTCTTGCTTCTTGAATCCTAGATCCTGGATAATCTCTTTTGTATTTGCACTTATCCACGTAAAATCTTATCATCAATTTGGCGCCGTTGCCGATTTGGGAATATTTTTGTTGCATTTGAGTTTCAAACACTTGGACGATCAAGCTATACCACCCCTGTTCTATTGTACTGCTGGGTTTTTGTCTCTTTTTGCAGGTGTATGCGAACTCGATCGAGTCGGTCTACTGAGGACTTGGTCGAGCTAGACTTCACAACGGGTAGAAAGAGGGTTCAGAGGTCACAGAGGGTACAAGAGGAACCTGAGGTGCTTGTTGCTGATACAATGGATGTACCAGAGGGGAATGGAAACCCTTTGGGAATGGACTCGGTCGAGCTAGGCAAACTCGACCGATTGGTCAAGGAGATGCTCCAAACCGCCACCAACAGAGACAAGGGATTGTTCCACCACCAGTGCAGAACCACAACTTTGAGATCAAGCTGGGAATGATCAACCTTGTCCAGAACAAGATGTTCCATGGATTGCCAAGTGAAGACCCCATTGACCACCTTGATGAGTTTGATAGGCTTTGTGATTTGACAAAGATCAATGGTGTCTCTGAAGATGCCATCAAGCTGAGACTCTTTCCTATGTCTCTAGCTGACAAAGCTCACCAATGGGAGAAGAGCTTGCCCCATGGCACAATCACCACTTGGGATGAATGCAAGAAGGCCTTTCTTGCTAAGTTTTTCTCCACCGGTCGCACAGCCAAGCTTAGAGGAGAGATATCCAGCTTCATCCAGCGAAACAATGAGACATTCGCAGAGGCTTGGGAGAGGTTCAAAGGCTACACAAGTCAGTGCCCACACCATGGATTCAACAATGAATCACTACTCTCCACTCTTTATAGAGGATGCTTGCCTAGGTATAGGGAGATGCTAGACACAGCTAGCAATGGGAACTTCCTCAACCAGGATGTAGATGATGGCTGGCAACTTGTGGAGAACATAGCTAACTCAAATGGAAGCTATGGAGAAGAGTATGATCGCACCAACCGGAGCTCGACCCACCACTCGATCGAGTCAGACGAAAAGTTGAGAAAAGATGTTAAGGCATTGAATGAGAAGTTGGATAAGCTGATCCTAGCTCAGTCCACAATGAAGAAAGTCAACTTTGTGTCTGCTGAGGAGATGGAACCAGTCCAAGAAGGGGAGGATACACAATTTGCTGAGGTGTGCTACATGAGCAATGGGCAAGGAGGTTACAACAAAGGATACTATAATTACAAGTCCAACCCTGCCATGTCATACCGCAACACTGATGTTGCTAACCCTCAGGACCAAGTATATCCTCAACAACAAGCAGCTCGATCGAGTCAGGTGCCACAACATGGGTATGGTCAAAAGAACAATTACCAAGGACCACAAGGCACTTTCCCTGGACAACAAATGAATATCCCACCAGGCTTCCCCCACCAACCGCCCCAGCCTGCACCTTCACAAGAGAATGAGCTCAAGGCAATGCTAAAGCAACTACTTCAAGGGCAAGCTGATGGGGTAGTGGACACAAGCAAGAAGCTAGCTGAAATAAACTCTAAGATCGAGAACCTCAACACAAGGGTTTACTCTCTGGAGAATCATGCTTCTTCTGTTGCTGCTGCTACAAAGCAAGGAACAGTGCAAGGTCATCTTCACTCAAGAAGGACTTGTTGAAGAAGAGGATCAAGAAAGGGTCATTGAAGATTTTTGTTTACTGCTGAATGATGAAGAGATTGTTGCTGCTGAGGCTCCTGGAGTCCAGATTGATCAACCAGAAGTGCAGGCACCTACTGTGGCCATTCACACTTCACCAGTTGAGCTCGCACAACAAGCTCGATCGGCAGCTCGATCGAGTCCGACCTCTTCTGTCCGACAGCCAGTTTTGCTTGATCCTTACCAACCGGTTGCCGCTTCCTCGTCTCGCCTACTTAGTCAAGGTCACAAGGAAGTGATTCACAAGTTCAGAAGAGATCTCAGTGGGATTGGAATTGAGTTGCCTCCTATGGATAGCATGAGTGAGGCATTTGATCAAATGCAAATGGTCAAGGATGTTCTAGCCAACAGTGATAAAGTTTCAGAGGTCCTACAAGAGTCTACTCATCAGTTCAACCTGCTTACTTCACCCACCTTCCTACCAAAGGTCAAGGATCAAGGGAAATTCACTCTCCCTTGCACACTTGGGCATCTTGAGATTGACAATGCCTTAGTGGATTCTGGAGCAAGCATCAATCTGATCTCTCTCTCCATGGCAGAGAAGCTAGGCATTGCTGGAGCCTTGCAGCGCCCTACTACTTCAATCATGTTTGGAGATGCAACTTCTAAGTCTCCTCTTGGAGTGTTCAAGAACTATCACTTGAAAATTGGAGAATGCATCATCCAAACTGATCTCACTGTGATGGAAATGGAAGAAGAGAAGGATTTACCTCTGTTATTGGGAACCCCTTTCCTTAGTACAGTTGGCGCTTCAATAGACTTTCACAAGCAAGAAGTGATCCTTCACAAGGTGAATAGTTTGGTGTCATATCGCTTGCAGCCTAGAGGTTCAGACTTTTGTGCCACAATTGACAGTACCACTCTCAGTTCTAAGAGTCATGGAGCTACAAAGGTTGTGAAGGAAAGGGTTGACAAAGAACCAAGAGTTGGGAAGGATAAGGATGAGAGAGGACCAAGGATTGAGAAGCCACGTCTTGAGAGGGCTAGAGTTGAGAAACCACGTTCTGATAGACCACGAGCTGAGACTTGTTCAAGCCCCTTGTGTGCTTGATGAAGAGAGCCTTCAAGCTTTGTTTGATGAGCCACTAGGAAGGGCTCTAAAAGAAGGGGAGGATGTAGCCTCTAAGGCAAGACCAGGGATAAAAGAAAGGATCCACCAGCTCAGGCCCCTTCAGTCAAGCCATCTCAGCTCACAATGACTTTGTTCCCCACCAAGTTTGAAAATGGGAAGATTGAGTACAAGATAAGGTACAAGGGGAGATCAAGGCCATTCTCTAGAGCCAAGGCCTTGGTGACTTCAGAACAGTCCAGGGACCCAACCAAGCTAAAGGAGCTTCTGTCTCAAGTCCTCACTATCACCCTTGATGGTGGGACTAGCTCAACCAATGCCTAAGAAGGTAAAGGTCAAGCTATGGGACCTTAAACAAGCTCACTTGGGAGGAAGTCCCATGTTTATCCTTGTACATATTCTATTTATGCAATTTCTATCTATTTTGTGTTTTAACCTTTGAATAAGTTAAGTTTAGGTGTCAAGGGAGCCAGCTCGACCGACAGCTCGATCGAGCTAGAAACAGGGCAACTCGATCGAGTTCACAACTCGACCAGGTAAGTTTTTGAATTTCAAATTCATAACCGTTTTCTTGGTCAAGGGAGTGGGTCCCACAAGCTGATTTTGGTCCCCCACTACCCTAATTTGATCAGAAATCCCTAGCTTCTTGTCCCCTCTTTATTTCATCTTTTAATCTCAACCACACATCTCAAACACTCCCTCTTCCCCATAACTCGATCGAATCCCACTCTCTCTCTCCCACACTCTATTTCTGAAATCATCTCTCTCTCTCTCTCATCACCACAAGAAACGAATTTCAATCTTTCTCTTTAAGTTTTTGCGATTTCATTGTTCTCTCTTGTTTTTTGTTTAGTTCTACTTTCTCTTCAATTCATCATTCAAGCAAGGTATGAACCCTAAACCCTATCCTTCATCTCGATTTCTCTATTGCTTGTTTCTCTTTGATTTTTGATTGCATGTGTCCCTTGTGGACTTGTTCTTGAGTAATTGCTCATATTTCGCCTCTGCTATATCTTGTTAATTTGTTTCACCTCACCTCTGTTTTGCCTTTAAACTTGTTGCATGTGCTTGAAATTGAATTTGAGTTTGGTATTGGTTAAGATGCTATGTTTTCACTAGAATTGCTCATTGTTCCATTTACTAGTTGTTCTTGGTTCAATTTGATTGATTAGCATCCTTTCCAGCTCTTAATACTTGAATTAGGTTTGGTTATACTCTGTTTTCACCCAACTCGATCGAGTTTGTCACTCGAGTTTTTTGACTCGATCGAGCTGAGTGTCGAGTTGACCAAACCGATCATTACAACTCTAATTCTTTGTAATCTTTGATGCATTTCAGGTACTTTAGTGAAGAAACAGTGTAACAAGATGACAAACAGTGAGGGAAGCGCGCTTCACAAGGAGAATGGTTGAGGGTGAATCAAGCAATGCAAGAGAGAAAGGCTTAAGATGCAAGCCGATTTGGAGAAGGATGGATCAGAGGATGGAAGAATCTGATGCAGAGGATATGTCTACTCTGAGGAACAGTCTGAGAGTGAGAGATTGAGGGAAGAAAGGAGAACCAAGAAGAGGAATGACCCTATTAGTAGTGAGAGTGAGCAAGGAGATTTGAGATTGGAGTGAACCTTGTTCAAGAGGAGGGATGGTTCTCCAAATGAAGAAGGAAGTGATGAGACTGAGAGTGAAGAGGAAGGAGAAGAGGTGAACCAATTGGTTGATGAAGTGACAAGAGGGGAACCAAGATGAGCCAATGGAGGAGGCGAACAAGAGGAGGATGAGCTCCCCATGTACCAAGAGCACTACAATGCTCTCTTCTCCATGGACTTTGTGGAGACCAAGTACCCACATGATGACACATGAAGGCCCTTGGAATCTTTGAGGATGTGGAGTTGGTCTCAAGAACATGCATTGGCCAAGTTCTTCTCTCACCGCATGGAGTCCTACAAGGAGCTCACTTGTGAGTTTTTGGCTCAATGAGGTATCACATGTATGATGAGCTCGATCGAGCTGATTGGACCAAGGATTGGGGGATCACGTTCTTGGCAAGGGAGAGAAGAAGATGGTGACCTTTAGGCAGCTTGAGATCTTGTTTGGGTTCACTATGGAGAGGAACATGGAACTCAAGGAAGAACTCCAAAGAGTTGGGCTACAATCGCTGAAGAGGGGTACTCTTCCTCAAGGTCCAAGGCTGCTCAGATCAGGAGCCCAGTGCTTAGATATGTGCACAAGGCTCTTGCCAACACCTTCTTTGCAAGGAAGGCACTGGACAATCAATGAGGGAGAACTCAAGCTCCTTGACATGGGAATCAAGCCCATCATCTCACGCACAAGGATGGCAAGAGGATCAGAGGAGATAGGGCACTGACAGGGAACTCATGCCTCTTCCTTGACCAGCTCCACCTACAAGATCACAGCTTACAACACTAGGCACCAAAGAGGAAGAAGCTTAGTGTTGGAGGGGTCATCACACCTATCTTGTGTGCTGCTGGAGTCCCAACTGACAAGAGAGCTACTGAACCAGGTTGGATGGACATCAAGTTTTGCAAGACCAACCTCTCATTGAGCACAAGGAGTTGGATGGGAGATTCCAATTCAAGTTCACACATCCATTGGTGGACCTCCAAGCTTCTCCTGCCCAACCCTGAGCTCACCACAGGTCTAGGGGTGAGAACATTGACTTCAGACCCCCTGTGTACACATTAGTTGGGCATGAGGATGATTTGCGAGAAGAGAGCCTGAGCTCGATCGAGCTGAGGATCGAGCTGAGTCAGCTGAAGATCAGTCCAGGAGAGTGCGATTTGGGTGAGCCTGAGTGCTATTACTTTGAGGAGTATGAGGCTCCAAGGATGAACCCCTCTGTTGTGGCTGCCACAAGAGGATTGGACTTCTCCAAAAGTTCAACAAATGGCAAGGGAAAGCCATTGAGAAGATGCAAAAGTCCATGGACAAGATGGTGAGCAAGATCAAAAGTTTGGAGAAGAAGGTTTCTGGTTCTTCAAGCAAGAAGAAGAAGTCCAAGGCCCCCACATTCCCTAGGAGTAGATCACTCCTCACCACTCCAAGGAGGCTCCCTGCCCAAGAGCCTCACAGAGCCTCTTCTTTCGAGCCAAGGGAAGGAGAAGACAACACGCAGAGAAGGAGGAAGACTTCCAAGGCCAGACGCTCCAGCTCGACCACCGGACTCGATCGAGTCCAAACAGAGGAAACTCAACTCGATCGAGCTGAGGGTCGAGCTGACCTGGAGGAGCCCCTGTTTGAGAACCGGATTCGAGTACGATCAACGCAGTACCAGGACTTCTCCCAGACCATGGACCCCTACAACAGTTCGAGCAAGCCAGCTCCACCAAGGCCAAGGAAGCCACACCACTTTGAAGATGAAGAAGAAGAAGAGGAGAGCCGCAAGCTCGATCGAGTGAGCCGCAACCCAGTTGCATGGAGTGCTCCTGATGGCCGTCTCCATCTCCAGACCACGACCTAGTCTCCCAGTTCTTTGGGGGACACTGAGGTATCCAAACACCAACCCTTGTATATACCATTTCATATTTTCTTGCATTTGTTCTTGTTTTTTCTTGGTTTTGCCCTCTTGAATCTTTCACTAAATTTTTCTCACACAAGGGACTGTGTGATTTAAGTTTGGGGGAGGGTTCAAGAGATGATTTAACCTTGTTTTCTTTGTTCTTAGTTTTTCATTTATCTTTTGCATAGAAAAACCAAAAAAATCATAAAATTTTCAAAAAATCCAAAAATATTTTCATCTTTTTGCATTCATATTTGTAGACTTGTTTAGGATTGCATTTTTCACTTGCATTGTTGATTTGACTTTGAAAACTTGTCCATCTTTTGCGATTTCTTGAGTGCCCTGTTTTTAGATTCTTTTGTGCATTAGGGTGAGATTGATTGAGCAGCAAGAACCATGTTTATCTTGATCATATCGCTGCATGCACATCTCATTCAACCATTGCTGTGATTTGATGCATTTCCCTATCTATTTGAACCATAACTTGATCTTTAATTACCAATGCTTGCATTTGATTTCAACTCATGGCTACCACATACATATCTGGACATTCTTTACCTATTTTCATATCCCTTTTGCTTGTCCAGATAGCTGATCTCTATCTTTGAGACAGTTACCACACCTTAAACCTAAGCCTTTTCATTTCAAACCCCATATTATCTCTTGTGCGAATGTGAGAACCTTTCTTGGCTTTGCTTAGCATAAGGTGTTGTGTTTAAACCGGCAGGGGCAGTAGTTCTAGTTGTCTAGTTCTCTTGGGATTGTTTTCAGGCTAAGTTTGGGGGTGCCAACTCGAGCTCGATCGAGTTGGGTGTAAAAACCAGAAAAGTGGTAAAAGTTGGGAAAAACCCAAAGGAAAAAGAGTTTGGTTAAGTCCAGGGAGTTGGCAGTGTTTAAAAGGGTCTAGTAAAGGTTTGGGAAGTTAAAAAAGGAAAGTAAAAAGGGTTCTAAGTAGAATGAAAAGAAGGCAAAGCCTCAAGTGTCCAAAAAGGAAAGAAAAGTTCCCTAAGTGTTTAGAAAATCCCAAACCGCTAGATGTTACCTCAAGAAGCCTCTCCCTAGGAAGTTCTTAAAAGAAAAGTGAGCAAAGCTCCTCAGTTTCAAAGGCGAAATGCCAAAAAGGGTAGTTAGGATTTTGTTCTAAAAAGCTCTAAGTGTTGAACTCGATCGAGTTAGGATTAGGCGGCTCGAGCTGCTGTTCTTGCATCATCTTTGGTTCTAACACTTAGCCTTCTGCCAAAGCAAAGCCACTTTCTTGAGAGATCCCTGTTACTAAACCACCATACAAAAGAGACCCTCTTTGTCTCTTAACCCATAAACCCTTGAAACCAAATGAGTTGATTGATCTTGCATGTTTTTGGTTCACTGTTTTTGCTTAATGAATGTTAAAGGGATTTGCTGATTTGAATGCATTGTTTGAGTGACTGTGAAGTGGGATTGATGTTGATAAGCATGGTTAAATCTTAATGAATATCTCTCACCTTGTTGCATTCTAGAATCTCTAAGTTGGACATTTAGCAAATCGCTTTTGAGGACATGTTTTTAAGTGTTGAATCAGCTATTTTCAAACCTCATCTCTTTCTTGTTCTATTTGTTTGCTTGAGGGCAAGCAAAGTTCAAGTTTGGGGGTGTTGATGTACTTGCATTTTACATAGTTTTAGCACATCTTTTATGCATCTTTTGCATAGTTTTAGCTTCCATTTGCATCATATCTTGTTCCTTTTCTCTTCTTATGCATTCATGTTAGTTTTAGGTTGCATTTGCATACATATGCATGTTTGGTCCTTTGAAATAGGTCTTTTGGAGCATTCTGGAGCATATGGGACATAAGGAGCATGGAGGGACTTGGCACATGGAAGCAGCTCAACTGGATACGCAAAGGAAGAAGGGAGAAGCCATCTTGAAGACCAGCTCGACCGTCCACTCGACCAACCGGTCGAGTTCCTCAACTCGACCGGCCAAGCTTCAACTCGATCGAGCTGGGGAGTCAAAGTCAAACCCGAAAAATGTTGCTTCCCCCTTGACTTTCCTTTGACCCTAAACCTAATCCTCTTTGTATTTAAAGGCTCTAAGCCACGAAAAAACCACCAAGCTTTAGATTATTTTGTTTTAGTTTCTTTAATTTATTGTCTTTTACTTTTTAGAGATCTAATCCCATCTTTGTGTTCTTGAAGCTCTTGCTTCTTGAATCCTTAGATCCTGGATAATCTCTCTTGTATTTGCACTTGCTTATTTCAATAAAAGTTGTTTAATTTCATCTCCTCTTTCTTATGATGTCTCTTTTATTGCATTTGCTTGTGTTTACATTCATGTGTAGTGAGTAGTTACCCATTAGGGTTTGAGATGGGATAGATTAGAGGTTTCATATGCTTAATCCTTCTAGCTTATGGTCTTAATCTAGATTCTCTCTCTTTTGGATAGATCTTAAGGCTACATGACCACTACCCCTGGCTTGTAAGTCCTTAGGCGACTCCCCACACGAAAGTGATGGCATTCGCTGGAAAAGATCCACTAAGAGCTCCAATATCTCTTGCTCTAGACAATAGAGGTCTAAGGGGTTGGATGGATTAGTTTGGGCAATGATCCTATAGCCTCCAAGGTTTGATTCTCACTGGCTAACCCCCTGTTTCTGAGATCATTCCTTGGTTGATAGCCTCCACCTTGGGAAAGGGTTGGCTAGGCATTGAGAAGCCCAATATCAAGAGAAGCCTTGATACAAGGAGTTTTAAGAGCTAGATTGATTAAGTGTAGATTCCTTTGATTGCAAAACCCTGTCTTGAACCCTAATTCTCTCTTTATCTTGTTAAAGTCGTCACCTTTAGCTTTGTTTGTCTCAACTCGTCCCTAAACTCGATCGAGCTGGTACTTTGCTCTGACTCGACTCGAGCTCTTGGTCGAGCTGACACTTCACTGCTTTGTTTACTTTTATTGCACTGCTTTTCATTTTTAGGTTGTTAGTGTTACTTCAAATCTATTAACTGCTTGCTTGACTTCCTGGTTGTTTCATATTCTCATAGAGTGACAAGTTTCCCATTTTGGATTGATAACCCTTTGTACTACATCAACTATCATGGTTAAAGGGAATTGTTGACTGTGTTTGTGTTTGCATCTTACCACCTCATCATATACCACTGATTGCATTCCACTCATCTCATTTCATATCTTTTCACATCCACACACAAATCCTATCATCAGTGCTCCAGCTCATACTCTGAAAATA